AAAACCTGCGTTCGTGAAAATTAACGAGTTCTTATCGTGGGGATCTCTCAGAGAGCACCTCACCATTACACATCAAAGGATGGCTGGTTTATGAGGAGGAGAAAACTTCGGTTTACAAAGGATCCTCCTCCGGATACTCTCGACACTGCCGCCGGTAACTCCATGGAGATTTTTCCAACACTTTTCTCCCGTATCTTTTCAATTTCAAAATGTATATCAAAACAAAGACTGTGATTAATCGCCTGTAGAGGTGGAGCACATTTACAAGTCGATTCCCAGAACGGGCGTCAACGGGAGACAACAGAATCTTTAAGGAAAACGACGATTTTTTCTTCTTCTTCAAGAACGAAGACTTTTATAAATGGATTCACCCGTGAAAAGGGCCGGTCTCTCTATTTAAACTAATTTAAAAGCAGATACTAGGGTCTTACGGAGTGTCGGCCATAATTTACGGACCCCCTCTTACGGAGACGTTCTCACCGAAACAGTTTGGTAAATCCTCCACCTATTTTCGAGATGGTATACTCAAATATTTTAAAAGATATATTTTATTGGAATATATTTAAATCGAATTCAAAGTTTTTTGTGAAGTCTCAGCAAGATGGAAGCTTGCCAGAGTGTTAAAACGTTTCTTGCATTTGTCAAACATAGCCAAGTTCATCGAAACAATAACTAAGCTCACAAGTTATTTCTCGGAATTTATGGAGAAGCGGTCAACTGTATAATCAATCAACATTTAGTTGTTTTAGTATCCTCCCACTTATTCCGCTCCGGGTTTGTACTACTTAATTACGAACTTCACCCCGAGTTTTAGTATAGATCAAGAAACACGGTCTGGATTTTAATGACAGCTTAACCATATTTGCAGTTATATAAAACTAGTTGCCTATCTTTAAAATAATAAACGACAATTAACTGTTAGTTGACGTGGACGGCAAAGTTGAAAGATAACTTCGAGTTGTCGACTCGTCTTTTTGGACAGAAATCAATTTTGCAGACATTCTTCCTCGGGCACTGAAAAGTTCAAAGCATCTCGTTTAAATTTAACAACGAAATTGCTCTCCCTGCAAACAAATAAGCGAACGAGGATTCGCTTAAAGCCCGTTTTGAACTTCTCAATTATAGAGTAAAGAGAATATTACTATTTTTCACAACTTTACAGTTTCGATTATTGTAACTCTATTTTATTGATTCAGTGTGAAATGGACTTGTTACGTATTCCAAGTGCGCGCGATATGGAAATTGGAAATATCGAATATCTTTATCTGTCGAGAGTTACAGCATAACGCGAATAGTTAAAGTATACTGAATCGGGGAAGTGATCGCAAACAAATTGGGGATAGCGGAAGCGTTCAGCGGGTCGGATAATTAATTGAGGGTGTCCACGAAGAACACGGACCCTTCGTCCCTTAATCGATTGGGTTAACACATCAATTAAGAGTCCGGGGGTCGGATGTCTGCCAAGGAAATTGCTGGTTAATTGATGCGTAGAAACGGTTGACGCGTAACAAATACCTTCACGGCGAAGGGCGCATTAAATACTCGTGCCGAAGTCCATTTGAGAACTTATCAAACTTGTCCCAATCTAATAAGATTTAAATTGCAGCTTACAGGTGGCCGCTCTCCAGGAAGATATCGACAAAGTTTCAAACTGCAAACAATCTCAAGAGAATAATAAGTTAAAAAGAAGAAAAAAAAACTTTCACAACTCAAATTCAATTTGAAAATCTTCAATTTCACCGCAAAATATACTATACTAAGTTATGATCTCGTTAACTTCGTCAGTGAATCGGTCAACGTATCGAGTTAACTCCGAGACCATAAACGAGATGCACTTTGTTTAGCTTGCAATTTCTGGTTGCCATCAATTCAACCTGAGGGCCTTATTTATGTCGTCCATCAACAGGGTGGAAGGTTTACGGTACGAAAGGTTGTAACGTGAAACTTGAACCACCATCGGAATCGAAGTGCGGCATTTGTTACGGATGTTCTTTTTGTTGTTCAGGTATAAGTGCGTCATTTATAATTTGTCGGCCGCGATTGGAAACCCCTATTTTTCGTACCTTAGCCATGCCATCAATCTGTTTGAGTCTAGGTGAGTGAATAAGAACATATAGGGCGGCACAGATTCCAAGAGTGCTCACTCTATATTGATTTAATCCGTGTATGCAGTTAGCTCCATTGTCGCTAAAAGCGCGGAATGGATTCCGGACACATTCCGCACGTGCTGTACGCGACTCGAGTACGGCACTAGATAACGAGAGATACGAAATTCCCCTGTAATCAACATCCGGGTGTTTTCCTTTAATCGCCTTACAGGATAATGCAATTCAAATTCAATCGATGGTGGGTGTTGTAATTGAACTCGGCGTATTTCCAATATCAAATTTACGATTGACCATCTTTTGAAGGACGGAATTCCATCAAGTACACACGTCGAAATATCATTAATTTAACTTAATAAACCTCTGTTAGGTGCGATTCGATTACACCTCTCTCAATTTGCTACCGCAAACCGATCCTTTAAGCTTTCACTATTTTAATACCGACCATTAAATTGATTTAAACTGAGACTAGCGGCCGAAACCCTACGTATATTCGAGTCGAGGGTGGTTTCCTCCCCATACCAACCTGTCCCGTCCTGCGAAATACTGCCGTAATCGTTTATTAACGCGCCGAGCGTTAAGCTCAAAATTGCAGTTGTCCGACAACCGTTTTGATTAAGTGTTAATTTCACTTGAATAACTTAAGTGGCCTCAAATACCAAGCTTGAATATGGAAATTCCGCGCATTTTCAACAACCAGTTGATAGGTATCTGATGTAATTATCCGTATTTATCGGAGTTAGAGAAATTTCCTGCTGTTTCTAATAATGTATTCCATGAAATCCTTACATAATCCTTTAGTACCTAGATGAATTTTGCATTAGTGTAGTGGAACCCTTATCACATCCCACAAGCATATGCAAAATTTTCCCATTTTCGCCCAGTTTTTTTTCTGTGAAGGCGGTCGCATTTCCCGACATTTCCGCCTTTCCGTACGCAGTCGGAAAATTACAGGCCACCACCACTCATGAGGTCCCATTATATTTCGCGGGACTACGGTCTCGTTCGAGAAATCGATACCTGCCTCCAAAACGAATCCAGGGACGGACGGAATAAGGGAAGCGGAAAAACAGCTAGCCGGTTTTGTTTTTCTTGAAATTCTTGAGGACCGGCGCTTAATTCCCTATTTAAATTTTAAATATGGAGAGTCCAATTCTAGCCGAGTGTTTTTCTGTTGTTTCACTCGACTTTGAGGCGTGTTCAGATGAGCTTTTAAACTTCTTGCTGCGTTATTAAGAGACGCAATAAAAACATTTGCAAGAAATCAACAAATTTATATTAACTTTAAAACTACGTTGTATTTGTACTCATGAAACGTGTTGCAACGGGTTTTGTTGAAAGATTGGGTTGGGTTTAGTTGGAACATACAGTTCACGATAACAATCGTTGAGAGCCCGTTGGTAAGCTAGAGCCAAACTTTAGCAATTAAAAGGAATATTAGAGCCATTTGTGTTTACGTTCGGTTACGATTTGGCAGTACGCGTCCACTAACGAACATAATATAGTTGAACCCAACGTGAATTGGATAATTACAAATAAGGTTAAATATATTTGTACGTAATTGTTCGAATTCGAATTAATTTTTTGTGTAGAGAATTTATTGATTATCGTTGGGGTGGGTTTTAGAAACATACGACCAAGGTCTGAACGCGAAACGGTTCGATTTACTGCCAGAGGAGGTGGATCCAATATCGGAGGGCCCTCAAGCGTGTAGAGACACGTGCGTTTGTGGTTTCTCGGGGGGAATTTGGGGTGAGGGGGATTTAATACTGTTTGAAGTTGTTTTAATAAAATATTTCTTCTCACAGTTGCGGTCCACTTTTGGATGCTCCGCGAGGAATTAACCGTCGACGGGGGGATAATTTAATTTAATAGAACTTGTTCGAACGTGCACCCTCCCAGCGCGTAATACGATTCCGCAACTTTTGTCCGAGTAGCGTTCAAGTTGGCACGGACACGCAACCGCGGGAATCAATCCTATTTCCTAATCTAACTTCGTGCCGATTTAATTTTCCTTTGCCATTAAAATTGTATGTTTTAAGTGGTTTAGTTTCGTCGGAGTTATTCTCTTTAGAAGCAAAGGGCGATTTATGCGCGTTTGAATGAAATTGGACCAAAATTATACACCCTATACAACCCCATTTGATATTCAGGCGGCGTTTTCACAAACTGCATGGTGGCTACGTAAAGCGGTGTGGCCCAAAGTAATTATTATACATGATTTCGGTTAACCCCACCGCGATGTGTGCGCCGTCCATCATTTAAATATACTGTTTCGCGTTATTAAATAACAATATTAATTATAACGTATAACGATAAATCAGACTGTAAAATGTTGTTACACACTCGAAGAATTCCATAAACACAATTATATAATGCAACAACGCGTTTATGAATTTCATGTTAATTAACTTGTTTACTCATATCAAATAGGGTTTACCACGAAGCGAAAATTGTTGAGAAATTTTAGTATATTGACGTGAAATTTGTAATCGAACGTTCGCAATTCGGGGCAGAAATTGTTCACGGTGCAACAAGCAAAGTGGACCTTTGGTGACGTGGAACGTAATATGAAGGAATTTCAATTTTAGAGATCTCGGTCGCCGAGGCGTCAGATTGCTTCCTACCGACCCCCTTTTATGTTAATTCGCGATCGCGTCCGCCACCAAATTGAAACCCAGAGGACCTGTTTCGCATCGCTCCGCATTTATTATTGTGTCGGACACATTAATAACGCCACCATGTACAATTTCGTTTGAGAACACAAAGTCCCAAACGCAAAGGTTCGCTTCTCTGAACCCTTTAGATGAGCTTAACGGGAGTTGGTCCCTGTTTATTCTATTCATACCGTATGTACATGTTTCCGGTGTTAGCATTATTGTTGGTATGTTTCAGGTGTCGTGGGTCAGACATAGAGACATACATCTACTCACGGTTGGAAGGTACACTTATACATCGGACCAGAGATTCGAAGCAATCCATTCTCCGCATACTGAAGAGTGGACATTAAGGATACGTTATCCACAACGAAAAGATTCCGGAATTTACGAGTGCCAGATTAGCACAACTCCACCTATAGGACATCCCGTCCATCTTACAGTTGTCGGTAAGTACTCTGACATATTTTGAAAAATATCTTAACCCAACAAAAAGAAAGTCTTGATATCTATTCCGGAGACAACGGTTGTCAACTTAGAATACCCTCGGCGTACAGTTGGCTTTTACAGCAGCCTACCGCACCGACGACACTTCTGGGATTTGGGAGACCCTGAAGGAATTTGGAAGGCACTGCTTGCCGCAGGCGTTGGAGGCGACGACGCCACCTGAATACTACATAAGCAATCGCGTTGTTCCTAACAGCACGAATCGGCCCATAATCTCTGGACGAAAAATCCCAAAAGAAACAACGCAACCAAAATTACACAAATAAATATGAGGTTCATCTCAAAGTTCATCCGTACCTCTAGCAAGGTAGTAATTTCAGGTAGCGTCGATTCATTAGTCCGCGTCGGTTCTTATTTAATAAGTTCGTATAATTAATTAACTTCGACCCCTGAGTTCGCTGTCGGGTAATAAATTTTAACCCCGTGAGTTTCGTCTCTAAGACATCCATTCAGTTAAAACTGTTCTTTCTTTTCTTTATTTAATTAATTTCTAGTTTATCGTTTTTAATTTATAATTTAAAGGTTTTTTTATTACTGAAAAGTGGACGTGACGAACTCAATTTGTACTTTTTTTTATTAATGCATAGGTATAAAGTTTTTCGCGTGCATTACATCGCGTTTACCTCCTTAATTTTGTTCTCAACTCAACGTAGAGTAATTACCGATCGTTGATTAGATTAGAAAGTTCCCTATATTTATATCTTAAAACATTTTTATAAAAACGCAAGCTTCAACAAAGTTTTTAATGATTGCTTTAAAATAATTCTCTTCCGATCAGATTAAATAATTGTTCACGGGGTTATAAATTTAGTTTAGTAGCTATTAATTCGAAACAGATTCCAAAGTGTGAAATCAGAGATAACGCATTCGTCGGTCACAGTGCGAATGGGACAGTAAATCGAGCCAGTAATTACCGCAGCCAGCAAACCACAACTAGTCTACTATAGAAAGGGGGTGGCCATAAACGCGTCCCCTAGTTCTAATAGAGATAGGATAGCTTTCCACAGATGAACTTGCGACATCCTGCAGGACCCTTGTTACCGCGTCGGAATGCCGTCGGCCGTCAATCAGGACTTGACCTGATGCAGTTTCAGTTCGAGCAAGTCGTTACGGGACGTCTCCGCGACCGAATTGCGCTTAATGATACGACCTTTGCTCCCAATGCACGTACCAAAACCTAACAACTTGAACAGACTCGTCTACAATTACGAAAACGTTTCGAAATTAACGAAGTCAGTCGACGGGAAATAACTCTGAGTTACTAATGTATTTTTAACTCAACAAATTTACGAAGACAATTAATTTTGTCGAGACGAAAACAGCTTTACTACCGAAAAATACATGTATTACGGTACTTATAACAAAAATAATTCAAGTTCTAGTTCAAACGATAATCACAAGTATATAGGAAAGAACATCATTTGATTTTTGAGTTTCAGATCATTTCAAGGATAGATATTGTGTCAAGTAGTAACTTAGACAATCCACGCACCAACTTGGTTGAGGGACAATGTAAAGATTATCTTCTATAAACAATTCTTTTTAAATAAGTAAATATATCGTGAAAACATATGCAAAAGATTAAATTGAAATACCACATAATTTGAAATGAAAAATTGGTTTACACTCAATTTTAAATTATTTCGTGTTTTGACAATGTTAATAATCAAAGCTTTATAATTTTTCAAGCACAAAATGCAAAAATTTATTGAATGGTACCGTTTTTCAAGCACAAATCCAATGGGTAGCGTTCAAACGGTTTTTATCTGGCAACATTACACCGTTCAAATCGCGAGTTATCCCGATATGTTTTGATAAATTAATAAAATTGAAAACGACTCACCGAATGGATGTTGTTTCCCTTGGATTTTACTTCGAAGCTCAGCTGGAAAGAAAAGATAAATTAATTTATTGTGACAAAAAAAATAAATTAATACGACACCTTTTAACATCCATAAAATAGCAATCCCATGATGTCCTATATCACATCACTAATATCACTTAACACTTAGCATAAATATAGCACGCATTTATCACTTAATTTAAGTAATAAGTTTTATTTTTCTAAACTACTTTATCACCCTTAAATGCCCGCATATCAACTAAAATGCGTTATTAGCGAATCAACTTCCAAACATCCCCTCCTTAATTTATTGTGTGAAGAAGGAATACTGGAGGTGAATAAACAAAAAATGTAAAGACGACGGGGCGAAGCGGTTTTAAATCGTTTTTTGGTTTTAAAACTCAACCTTTCAATAAAAAAATTACTCGTTTTCTCGAAACATTTCAAATAAAACTTACGTCATTTTACTAAAATAAAACGCACTAATCGAATTTCAATGTTTAACACTTCCTGCAAAAGAATCAGGTGCCCAACAAATAATTAAAACGAAGCAGCCAAGACGTTGGATTATGCATCATCCCTTATTTTTTGTGTCATGAAATATAAATTTAAAAAAAATCGTATCTCAAGAACGAATTGAGATATCATCATGAAATAAAAAATATTTTAAAGCAAATTTAATGAAGATTTAATATCATGAAAACATATGCAAAGATTAAATTGAAATACCACATAATTTAGCAGCCAAAAATTCCCAAAGAAATCGTTTTATTTGATATAAAAAAAGAGACTCCCCCTTAAAAAGCTTGAAGTAGATTTTACTACCTAGTATTATTTGGGGTGGTTTAGACTCAATTTCAAATTATTTCATGTTTTGACAATATTAATAATTAAAGCTTTATAATTTTTCAAGCACAAAATGCAAAAATTTATTGAATGGTACCGTTTTTCAAGCACAAATCCAATGAGTAGCGTTCAAACGGTTTTTATCTGGCAACATTACACCGTTCAAATCGCGAATTATCCCGATATGTTTTGGTAAATTAATAAAATTGAAAACGACTCACCGAATGGATGTTGTTTCCCTTGGATTTTACTTCGAAGCTCAGCTGGAAAGAAAAGATAAATTAATTTATTGTGACAAAAAAAATGAATTAATACGATACCTTTTAACATCCATAAAATAGCAATCCGATGATCCCAACTATATCACATCACTAACATCACCTAACACTTAGCATAAATATAACACGTATTTATCACTTAATTCACGTAATAAGTTTTATTTTTCAAAACTACTTTATCACCCCTAAACGCCCGCACATCAACTAAAATGCGTTGTTAGCGAATCAACTTCCAAACATCCCCTCCTTAATTTATTGTATGAAGGAGGAATACTGGAGGTGAATAAACAAAAAATGCAAAGACGACGGGACGAAGCGGTTTTAAATCGATTTTTTGGTTTTAAAACTCAACCTTTCAATAAAAAAATTACTCGTTTTCTCGAAACATTTCAAATAAAACTTACGTTATTTTATTAAAATTAAAACGCACTGATCGAATTTCAATGTTTAACACTTCCTACAGAAGAATTAAAACAACAAATGATTAAAACGCAGCCAAGACGTTGGATTATGCTTCATCCCTTATTTTTTGTGTCATGAAATATAAATTTAAAAAAAATCGTATATCAAGAACGAATTGAGATATCATCATGAAATAAAGAACATTTTAAAGCAAATTTAATGAAGATTTATTTTAATTTCTTATTTTCTACGGAGCGGCTGTATCATAACAACGATGTTATGATACAGCCGCTCCGTGCCCTTAAAAGACTAGAAAAGTCGTAAGAACATACTAAAAAAGATTTTCTGTTTTAGTACAAATACATTTAAAATCAGTCTATTACTTTGTTCGTTTGTTTACATACTTTATTATAATTAATAGAATATTTCAAACATTTTCACATTAGTTTGTTCTCTAGTAGTAATCCGTTTACAAAAAAATATTTTTTATGTTATTGGGGAGTAGAAAAAACTATGGCGAATCGTGTACATTCGCATTATTTTGGCGTTTTATCGGAATTGGAAAGAGATTTCGAATTGGGCATTTCCACATTCGTATTGGCCAAGGATTAAGCTGCGGTTCTCTTGTTATAATCAAAACACTATACATGTAAAATCTTATCTAATTGGGTTATCTATCTTCGCATAGGTGGGTAGAATCTACTTTAAATATATTTTAGTATTGATTTAATTAAACAATGTTTAGCTTTTGTATTACATACTTTTTGATATCTCGTTCTAATTACTGAGAAATCAATACGTTCGTTAAAATTGTGTCGTTTTATCTTTATTTTGTGGCCCACTTCGTCATGTATACCAATATCACGACGAGTTTAATTTATTTTTTTCAATTTTTAACTCAATTCAGTTGCCATTTATCGCGTGTGTGCCAGTTATTCTATTCTGGGCACGAACATGTGGCGTTTGGTTTCTCGAATTCTTGCTCCTATCTGGTAAACAAAACTTTGCAGCTCCAACGCCCATCGATGTATAGAGTTATTTTACGTTTGATACTGTAATGAAGTTGGAATAATTGCTAATGTTTTTATCTTGATTTAGTTTGATAGAAATCGTTGCCATAGTGGAATTGTGGTCATTTGCAGTGGAGTATTAATGAAAACGGTCCGAAGGAGGCGATATATAACGGGTACAAAAGGCCCCTCAACCGGCCGTTACGGTAACCGTCCCGAAATGGTCGCCGTAATGGTATTATTTAAATAGAGCGGGCTGACGTTCAATTAGACCCCGGACTTCTACGCTATTACCTAGAATAAATTCCGCGACGGTCAGAGTAAATTGCTTTTGGGAATCGGTTCGGCTACGACCGCGGTGGTTCCTCTAAGGAAAATCACTAATTCTATTGCCGTATTCGATTAAAGAATTGATTGAAGTCCCTTCTTATTGAACGTCAAAAGACGACTGAAATATTTTAGGAATTACATCAATTTGATGAGTCCGTAAATTAGTAAATCTCTTTTAAAACTTATTGAAAAGTTTGAAATTTAGTTTAGTGAGATTAGATAATACAGAATATTAATATAACCCTCATCACAATAAACAACAAACAGTCCTTGTAAAGTTGGTTAATGCACACAGCCGTGGGATAAAATTTTGAAAGGAAACTTTGTATGTAATTAATTTAGCAGGTCCGCATTTCGTATTAACAATAAACGCACGCCGCCAGGGAAGTGTATAACGTAGCCGTTTCCGGTTGGCGAACGGAATAAATGCATAAAATCCATCACGAAGTTAGGGGCGCAATTAAAATGCATAGAAATATTCTCAAAGCCGTTGGTTTGGGGCGATATTTCGCAGATTTACGAGCGCGTATTTCACGCGCGCCGGACGATTCAAAAAGTTTAGGGGCGGTTATTTAAATTGGCCCATATATATCACTTTTTCCGGGTCGCCCGCGGAAATTCCACAGCCGCGTAATTCCTCTATTTCTAGCGATTATTAATCTTTGTTTGTGGCTCGAATTTAAGTCAGAAGTCCGTGTACGCAAAGTTTCCACCCCCTTCGGGAAAACCTACCCACCAGAAGAAACCGGTTTATCAAAGTCAGTTTCTGTTCCGAGTGAAAACGGAATAACGAAGGGATTTCACGCCTTTCCCGTAAAAAATTGCCATCCCAGATGGTTGAATCTCGGAGCGGTTTATTCCCTTGGATGTACATTTTTTTCAGTTTCTCAGGGAGACAGGGATTTAAAGCCCTGAACGGGCTTAAAAAGTTTGTTTAAACGGTATACAGTTTAAGATATTCTGAAAACCGAGTAGGTAAAGAAAAAAGAGGACAATTCTTTTCTCTTATTCAACGACTCTTGTTTTACCTAGCTTAATAAAAAGAAAAATAAAATTCCCTTATCACAATAAATTTACGAATACTTTTTATATCCTTAATATAGACGAATTTTTATGAAAGAAAAAATGGGCTATTCCAATTTGCAGAGAAATTTCCATATTGATACGATTTCGTGAGACCCTCATAGTAATTTTAACGCCGTTTTACAGTCGGAGTGGTTTTATATGTTTTACATTTCACCCTCCTAAATCGACTTTTGATGTATGCCTGTGACTAAATCATTACCACCAGGATGTATCATAAAACATATAAAAGTTCATGAAGAATAAATCCCTCTCTTCCGCTGTGCAAAATTAACGTGTTTCGACGTTAAATATTGAAGACATTTTTCCCGATCCTCATGCATAAATCATAACTAAAACGATCAAAACATCCGACGTTTCCTCTAATGTGGAATTAATGTTTTAACCGGAAGAAAAAAATAACTTCTCCCTCGAAGCGAAATTTACATTCCTACAATTTACATTAACTATTTTTTTACAGAGCCAATCACTGAGATATTAGGAGGAAACGATTTGTACATCAACATGGGATCTACAATCAATTTAACTTGTCTTGTCCGGTACGCTCCCGAACCACCACCAACAATGTCTTGGTCTCATAACTCGCACGCGATCAATTTTGATTCACCGAGAGGAGGAATTAGTTTGGTAACTGAAAAAGGACCGATTACAACTACGAGATTACTTATACAAAAAGCTGTTCAAGCTGATTCTGGTGTTTACACCTGCGATCCATCAAATGCCAATTCAGCGAATGTTAGAGTACATATTTTAGATGGTAAGTAAATATTTTTAACACGTAATTAATTAAACTTAAATTGTTGTTATTAATATTATTTGATTTCTTCAACTTTTATATTGTTACAAAATCCATTTTAAAAACACTGATAACATCCGTTGCAATTAAGATGGAGTGATTTTGTTTGATTTATATAAAAGCCCGATGCTTATAGAATACTTATGGTAAATTACGTTTCTTTAATATTTATTGTGCAGATGATATTAATTTTAATCTAAACATAAACTGATTTTGTTAAAATATGAAAAACAACTAATTTTGAAATAACGATAACTTCGCTTCCAATCAAGATATAACGATGAGGTTTGATTTAAATTAAAGCTCATTTCTTATAGAATACTTATAGTCCATTTAGTTTCTTCATTCTTTATAACACTGGTGATATGATTTTTTAAAATAAAGGCAATCAAACTCAATTTTGTTAAATCTTAGATTTTTAAAAAATTAATAACTTTGTCTTTAACTAGGATGAAGTAACTTTAATTTAAATTATAAATCAATGATTACAGAATATTTAAAGTGTTTTTTTTTTCATTTATACTACAGCAACTTTTATACGGTTTGTAATTGTATTAAATTCCGTTGAGTGGGATTTAACATTTTAATAATATACAGTGTGGTAGGCTTTTATGGTAATAAAATTTAACAGGATTTTAGGGTTTTGTACGATTTTAGGGATTTTCATATTTTATTTGGATTTAAATTCCATTAAAAAAAATCAACCCAAAAATTGACTCATAAAACAAAAGGATTTTATAGAAATGAAAATCCTGCACAAGTATGAACATTGTAAAATAAACCAAACTAATATTGTGATGAAGAAATGTTGAGTTTTGTATCAATTTTAAAATAAAAAACGGAAGCTAGCGAAATAACAAGTAAACTAAATCTGTTCGTAATAAACCAGACTACCATAAAAGTAAACAAGCCCTGCAGGACAAAGGCGGTCGTTTGTTGGAAATTGTTTGGTTGAGCGGCGGACGTTAATCCAATTATTGACGTTAAAATTCGCATAAATTAAATTCAGAGTGTTGCGGAACAGATCTCTGGTATCGGCAATTTTGAACCACGAACGAAATTACCATACAATTCAAATCGAGTTTCAACAGATTTAATAGAAAATAAAATTGAGTTGATTTTTTGACTTTTTTGTCTTTCTATGTTAATTAGAATAAATACGAAGGGAGAAAATAGCGGCGTTTCGGTGATTTAATGTTTCCGTTGGTACGCGTTCAGCGAAAACCGAGATAATTACTTTTTAAGACACTATAAATTAACGGCTTTTACCGACGTCGGTGGCCCAAATACCGCAGATCGGTTTAAGGCCGTTCCTGTTAGGTGTCGGTTTCGTTAGAAAGAACAATGGGTTGCTCGTTTTGAAGCTTTATTCATTGTACATTTTATATAGAAAATCTACTAGTTTTTCGCTTTGTTTCAGGAGAACATCCAGCGGCAATGCATCATGGCTGCAGCAGGAGTACTTTTCAATCGATCCTATTAATTTTCATCTGCATGTTCTTCGTGGCCATTCGAATGAATCCAACGTAGCAGTTCATGTAAAATTAAACTCTTTTTAATTCTTTTTGTGGAAAAGATTAATTTTTGAAGCGATTTTAACGGAATAAACGGTCTATTAATGTAAGATTTGAGACCGATTTTTATTGAAATTTTGTACATATCATTGGAAACCAATTCAGATGTTTGTACAGGACGTACCTTACTATGTTATATCGTTCGAAAAAGTAAGAAAAAAATACGACGAAGTATATATTATAATATATGGGGATATATTTTGTAAATAGCTCATCATGTCCATTGTAAAAGTAAATATTAAATAATAGTAGAGAACCGAATGTTGAATAAATAAAAATAAGGAGGGAATCGTAATTGAATGAGTTTCGTTTTGTACGATGAAGAATGAATGAAGAAAACGTGAGAGAACAAAAAAAAATTAATGGGGACCTTGTGTTAAAACTAATAAGATTAAAATTATTATTAATGAAGTTTGTATTTATTGATAAATTCGTTGAAAATAAAAAATACGTTTTAAGATACAATTTATTTTATTTCATTTAATTGAAACATACCAACTCAACGGTAAGTAATCTAATTAATAAAAGATAACAAACCTTGAAATCTCTAAGCATAATGCATTTTTTATCAAACGGAACCATCCGAGTTTCTCGGTTTTATGATCAAAGAAACAGCTCGAGGGTAATTTATATAATTCACCGAATCGTCCGGATTGTGATGGCTTCGTAATTATAACTCCGCCTAGAGGGCTCCCCTTTTTAATACTTTATAACACTCCAAGTTGTAAAATTCTAATTGCTTTTTTTACGGGCTCAGATCGCCCAGTCAAAGTTTTCTCTTCGAGGGCCATTTAATCTTCTTTCGGAAGCACGTCGTCTTCCCCCTTTCACACCCGCTTCGGATATAATTAAAGCAAATTTGAACTGTCCGAACGAGATTTCTTGTTTACTAATTAAATATATTTCTTTCCTCCCGAAAAAGAACCTGGCGAAAAACTTTCAAAGTTGTGTAATAAAACTTCAAACTCATCGCAGCCTTGAAAAGAGAATAATCTCTTGGGACACCGTGGAGAGTGTCGAATCATATATTTAAAGGGGAGGATCGACCCTCAAACTTCAAAAAGATAAATAAAAGAATATAACATTTTCTAGAAGTTATAAAAAGCGAGATGAAATGTACGTATTTCTAGACGTGTTTAGATTTTATAGTTACTAATTTGAATTCTTGAAGAAGAACCATGATGTGTCAACTAGTGAATTATTAAAGTGACAGCTTTGAATATAAATTTTTTTAGAACTATTTTATTTCGATTTTGAGTTCGATTTTGCTTAACAGTTAACAGTAAACATTAAAATTGTTTACAATTAATGAATACATTTAATATTTAAACTGAGTAGAATAAAATGAGAAATTTAATCACAAAGCAATACAAGTCCAATTCAAGCCAACTCAGCCACAAAGGATTAAGACCAAAAGTAAGCTAATCATATCCCCAAGCAACTCAATCATAAAGTAATCTTCCTCCATTGTAAGTCAAAGTTGCTGCACCGAGGTTGAGATGAGTTATTTCGGGAATTCAACTCAACCAAAAGCCAAGCCAAGGCAACTCTAAGGAAGTCAGCTACAAATTAACAAAACTCCAAAGCAACGTAATTACCCCAAAACTTAATCTCAATCATAAAGTAAGTCAACTCAACTCCAAGAAACTCAAATTCAAAGTTAACTAGCTCCAAACCATGACAATCCGACCTTGGTGCAGAAGCAATGGGCTCAGCATCAATCCCAATAAAATCGAAATAGTCCCTTTCACTCGGAGAAGGAAGCTACAAATAAAAGCACCCTCCATTGAAAGCAGAACTATTAACCTCAAAACAGAAACTAAATACCTAGGGGTAATACTTGACAGTAAACTAAACTGGAACTCACACTTAGATAAGGTGAGGAAAAAGGCCATCATGGCAAACCAGATCTGCCGCAGGCTCCTAGGAAGGAACTGGGGTCTCAAACCACGAATGGCTCATTGGGCCTACGTAGCAATAATCAGACCCATGGTCGCCTACGCCTCATTGGTTTGGTGGCCAAAAACAAAACATAAGACAGCTCAACAACAGCTGGCACAAATCCAGCGGTTAGCATGTCTTAACATAACGGGTGCAATGAGATCCTGTCCGACGGCTGCTTTGGAAGCCCTACTCGGTCTCACACCGCTCCACATATATATACAAAAGGAGGCAGCCTTAAGTGCCTTATCACTGAAAACAGTTTCTTCACTCAAGTTGATGCAGGGTAATCTCAGAGGACACCTCGAGATCCTCAAAGACCCATGTCTAAATCACCTGATTGAAATTAAAACGGACCTTATACCGACGGAATACAATTTCAACCAACCGTATAAGGTCATATTTAGTAGCAGGGATGATTGGGCGAAAGGAGGGCCTCAACTAAAAAGAGGAGCCCTAGCCTGGTACACCGATGCTTCAAAGACAGTAAGATCTGGAGTAGGCATGGGCATCAGTGGACCAAATAGCCACATCAAATTGCCCCTCAGCTCGGACTTAACAATTTTCCAAGCAGAAGTTCTTGCTATAAACTTCTGCACCGCTTTGAACCTACAGAAGGGACAAAAAGGTGCATCCATAAACATTTTCACAGACAGTCGGGCCGCCTTAAAGGCAATTCAGGCCTACACGTGTGGCTCCGCACTGATCAGAGAGTGCACCAACAACCTGAGAGAACTCGCTAGGGGCAATGATGTTACCCTATGGTGGGTTCCAGGTCACAGCAACATTGAGGGCAATGAGAAGGCCGACAAGCTGGCCAAAGAGGCAGCAAACACGCCCTTCATTAGACCCCAACCTGGATGTGGACTACAAAAAAGCCACCTAAAACAAATAATCAACAACTGGGAGGCTTCAAAGATAGCCTTACGCTAGAAAGAACTTCCAGATCACAGACAAGCGAAGAGTATGATAACTCCGTCGCAAAACAAAACCAAAGAGGTTTTATGCCTCAGCAACGGGGATCTAAGAACGCTTTCAGGCTACCTAACCGACCATGTGCCCCTAAAATACCACCTCTTCCACATTGGACAAGCTGAGGATCAAACTTGTCGACTATGCAACGACGAGTCAGAAACTGCTGAACATATACTGTGCAATTGCGTCGCCAGAGGACGTCTAAGGCACAACGTCTTCGGTAAAACTCCCCTGTTACCTACATAAAGGTTCAAGACCTCAGGACAATACTAAGGTTCATTAAGGACCTACATTTGCCCTAAACGTTTGGAGGGCTAAAGTTACAATAGATCTTATAGGTCGCGGTAACGAGAGGGGCCGCCCCCCTCAGCCCGGCAGCAATAATAATAATAATAATAATAATGACAATCCGACAACAAAGTTGGGATACTTGTTGCAATTTAAAGTTAAAACGTGCTTGGGTTGGGTCCAAAGTAACCCAACTCAATCACGAATCAACTTTAAACCAATTAATCCTAACACTAAAATAACAACTAAAAACCCAACCCGTTCCAACCCTACTTAGCTCACATACGTGTAGTTCTTTCCTCACTTCTAGAGGTACTTGTCACAAGATATTACAAATACATTTTAAAATATTTATCCAAGTTTACGTATAAGAGTCATAAAATATGGTTGATGACACGATATAAAATGAGGCCACAAAAGCCACATATATTCATGTAGAATAATTTGCGATACGGTTACGGTCGTAGATATTCCCTACGCGAGAGTTAATTAATGATTCCCGTCAAAATGGCAGATGAAAAACAACCTGAACGCCTCCATAGGTTTCGCCCCGGTGCATTACGTGGATGCGATTACGTGTCACCGGTTTGCAGTCCATCGTATTAGCCAACCCAACCCCCGATAACCATCCCTTACCGAGGTGAATAACCCCGATGTGAAGGCGTTAAATGATTGAGTCTTGAATCTTTTCGACATTTTAATTTTTTAAAAATCTTTATGCATGATGTATGTACTTGAGTTTATTGAAAAAAAAATAGGTAAATTTGCTATTAAGAAAAGTTGGGAGTCGACAGTAAAATTTAGGGAGTTGTTACTTTAACGAAGGCATTATCTGAACTTAGTAAACACCTAGGTACTTTCGGCAAGCTTTTAAGAAACTTCTCGACGCCGTAAAGCACGACGTCTCGACGCAGCAGGTATAAAATTTGCATAACTTTGAGCGGCTGTGAGTAGAGTCAGAAAGAAGGTTACGTGAGATGTGGGGAAATTGGAAAGACTCACAAAGAAAAGGTGAAGGTGCGTAAAAATTTAAGTTTTCTCTTTAAACTCAAAAAGCTTAAAAACTTGAAAAATCTTATTACCACTTTTTAACTAAAAAAAGAAGATAATGACGAAGCTTTTTGGGGAGAAAAGCGAGCATTTATAAAGTTTTCTGGAGATCAAAGGACGGTTGCATCGCAGAGACGTCCGTACAAACGTAGAATGGGGTTTTCCCCCGGATAAAGTGTCCAATGAAAAGGAAAACGGATTCGGGACGTCGGCAAAAACGACGGCCGACACGAAACGCTAAAAATTCCGTCCGATGCAGAAACATCCCGCTGCTTTTCGTTTCCTTTGCGGGGGCTTCACGCTGGGAAATGGGGGGGCCCGCGGCGCGGCAAATGGACTTTTTCCGCATTAGGCACTTCGCCCGCGAAAAGAATCGATTCGCGTTTTTACGCGAAATCTTATCAATCCCACGAATTTCTTGAAGCTATCTTTCCTTTTATAACCGTCATAAAATCCTATGTCAAAAAATCACATTTATAAGATAAAACAGGAAACTTTCTACTTAAAATAGGAATTAAATTTTTCTCATTCTCTGATAACTAGATGTAATTTCTAAAGAGTACAATACGTTGGCAAAAGTTCTGAGACGCCCTCATTAATATCCTGGCAGTATTACAAAGGCTCACAAGATAAATTGGCATTCCTTCTGTTGGCGTCGTGATCGTGATCCAACTAGAGAATTAATGGCTTTTTAATATATGGCGCGGCAGGATCTCGACAGATATTCGCTGAAGTAGTCGCTAGCGTAGGGTCAGCACCAATGAATACTAAGCTCTTCGATCTCCCCGAAGCGATTATAGATTTGAAAAGAACTTTTAAGTTTTATCTCTTATGATAATTCGATTTATTTTTAAACCGGTTAACATCGGGAACTAAAATCGGTAATTCTCTGATGACCCGTACTAGAACAGTCTGGGAACATCACGCCCTAATTACGCAATAAAATCTAATTTCAACCCCGGACGCCAAATGTTACCTTTTCGTGGCCCGCGCTGCGGCAGAAACCCACTAATTGATTTGTCCTGCCCTCTGCGACTGCAGAACGGACGCTGGTGCTACTCTACCCCCGAGGTCATTAAGCATAGCACGGTTATCGTCAAAATGGGAGCATAAGAATCTCTGCGACAAATTTAAACCAACTTGCTTTAATACTAACAGAGTTTAAGACTTTCCCGCGGCGCGTTACTAATTGTAACTAACGGGCGCCGTTAATTAATTTAACGTGGGCGACTTTAAAATTTTATTTATCCCATGCTCGACAAAGAACTTTCCACCGTTTTAGCTCTAGGAATAACTTAACTAGATGGGACGGTAAATAACAGTTAGAGCGAACTTATTATTTTATCAGACCGAGAAGGATTCGTGTTTCCCTCAAGCTTCTTCTTTGTTAATAGCAAAGATGAGGTAAGTTCGGGTACTTAAAACTTTCTGACGACGCTCTTCGTGTCCACCGTAATTGACAAAAGGGGCAAGAAGTTAGTAATTATAAAAAGAACCCTAGAAAACTGCTCGAATTTTAATTCATCGAATGAATTATTTTGAAATCTATTGAAATCAAGTTTTTACATGTACTTGGAAAACTCAACCTCATTCAAATTTTATTATGATTACAGCAAAACCTCGATAGAAATTCGGGTTTTAATTGGACGTCTCTTAAGATGGCTAAATCCAAATGTTACTAGGTCTAGTGTTAGTTCAAGTGCTAATGTTAGTTCTAGTTTTAGTTGTTATACAGTTTTAAATTTTTGCATATTTTTTATTGAACTAAAACTAGAATCATTTGGGTTTAGCCCTACGTCTCTTAAGACGGCTAAACCCGAATGTTTCTAGTTCTAGGTCTAGTGTTAGTTCTAATGCTAGTATTAGTTCTCGTTTTAGCTGTTATTGAGCGTTAGATTATTGTACATTTCTCCCTTCTCCATATTAATAGAGATTTGACTGTGTTTAAATGCTGCTAATACATATTTTATAAATAGTGTAGAAATTTCTAATACGGTTCCCTTAAGAATAAGAAACTTACAAATATCTAAAACTTTCGCATTTCATTTAAGTGATGCAATAGAAGTTCAAAAAACAATACAATCTTTAAATGATACAAAAGCGGTAGGCTTTGATGAGATTCCGGTGGCCTTATTGAAGTTCGCTTCTGATGCTCTCTCTGAACCATTGAGTAATGTTATCAATTTGTCCATTTCTATGGGCGTTTTTCCAGCAAGCCTTAAAAAAACAGTAATTAAACCATTGTATAAGAAAGAAGATCGATCGGTTTTTTTGCGTTGATATCAAATGTTACAAAAATATTTGAAAAAATTGCATTGAGAAGAATAATGGATTTTGTAATTAAAAACAAAGTACTAAATGATACCCAAAATGGGTATATAAAAGGACGATCAACGTCACGTGCAATTTTTCAGATACTTGATAAAATTACATCAGCTATCAATGAAAATGATATCACTGGTTGTATTTTTATGGACCTAACAAAAGCATTCGACTGTGTGAATCATGGAATCCTTCTGAATAAAATGGAAAAAATGGGTTTCCGCTTGATTGGTTAAAATCCTATTTACACGGCAGAAGCCGGTGTGTTATGTCATACAGCGATTCGGGAGGAGATGTTAGGTCTGAGTGGAAAGAAGTATTTCAGGGAGTACCTCAGGGGTCAGTCTTGGGACCTTTCTTGTTTCTTCTGTACATTAATGATTTGCCTGATGTACTTGATAGTTTACTGGTATTAATTGCGGATGATTCAACTTCTGTTGTATCTGGAAAAAGTGAAGAAGCGGTCTTAGGAATGGCCAGAGAGAATTTAACAAAACTAAACGAATGGTTGTTAGGAAATAATCTACAGCTCAATATAGCAAAATCAACTTTTATGATTTTTGCAAATAAAACACCTGAGATGGAAATAATGTTTGGAGGACAATTACTCACCTATAAACAGGAGGTGACGTTCCTCGGTTTAAAGATGGACTGCCGCCTTTCCTGGAGTCAACACATTGATGGGTTGACAACTAGTTTATCCAGAACATGTTTTGCGCTTCGAACAGTGTCACGATGTGTAGGTGAGAGAGTCGCTTTAAGTGTTTATTATGCGTGTGTTGAATCGCGTTTGAGATATGGAGTTATTTTCTGGGGAAATGCAGTAACTTCGGAACTTTTTTTTTCATCCTTCAGAAGAAATGTGTACGAGCGGTTTTCGGTCTAGGTCCGCGTGACTCATGTAGAGCTCTTTTCGCAGAACAAAATATTCTCACGTTCCCATGTTTGTTTATTCTAGAATGTGCACTTTTTGTTATAACTAATTACCATGAATTTTTCTCAAAATATGAATTATCTCATCAACATCAAACGAGAGGCACTGAACGATTATTTTTACTACCACCGAAGACTAATTATTCTAAAATACAGAAAAGTGTTTTATATTTTTGTATAAAACTGCACAATTACTTACCGTTTGATTGGAAAGCGCTACCATCACATGTATTTAAAAAAAGATTGAAAGAATTCTTAATCGCGAAAGCTTTTTACAGGGTAGATGATTTTTTTCTCGAAAATATTTCAACCCACTAAGAAATATGTTTATTAACATCTTTTATTTTTATTTTGTACTAGATTTTTTGTATTTGAATTTGTAAATTTATTGGTATTATAATTAATTAATTAATGTTATTTACTTAATTGTAAAGGTTTTTTGTTTTTTTGACTGTTTTCTATGCATGTAAGCATTATAGAAATAAAGGGATTTATTTATTATTAAAAACACAGAAATGTTGAACTTATAATAAAGTTGGTTCAATTGGGTCAATTTAGTTTTGGTTACAACTGATAATTGTACAGATGGTTTCAGAAGCGAGATACGACCTCCGGTGACTGCCCGATGGTGGATACTGTCGCTCTAATGACACTGTAGCGACCAACTTCGCAGTTGTTATCGCTATCGTTTCCCCTTAGCGCAGCTAACGCGAAGCACTAATCTTATCTTCGACAACATTTGGCCCGTGGAGTTAACAACCGCTACACGTTCAAGCGACATAACTAACATTCAACGGTGAAAATTTATAGTTTTTAAGACGATTTCTTGTTCAATTTTTCATAGGCGAATCTTATCGATAACGGAGATGGACGACGACGTTGGGTTAAGTTTCCATAAATTTCCTGAGGTCGTTGCAACGTCAATCTGGAAACGTAAAAGTTTATCCTTACAAATTCGGGTAATTTAAAAAAGTCGTGGGGGAATCAATGTTTTCGCGAGCGAAACTAAACCTCGGTATCACCTGGATCCAACCGGGTGTTTATTGCTGCTCAACTCGTTAGTAGTTTGGGGGGTTTAAAACAATTTTCTAAGGCGGAACTAAGTAGACGCGTAAAACCAACCCCGGGCGTTATAACGGTCTCGAGATAAACGCCCTCGCGCGTCCGACTTTAGAGTTTGGCTGTGTATTCCGTTTAAGGGTATCTAATAAAACCGTCTCTAAGACGGCGCTAACTCGGTAATACGGCCATAAAACTTCGACTACGATGTATTTGCGGGAAATATCGAATATCTTCTCGCAGGTCTGGGGTGACTTGAATTTAAATTAAACCCCCCTCCGCGTTCGTTTTAATACGGCACTACTTTCCCGTTTCTCGAGTGTCACGAGAGAATGTATTTTCAACCCAAAACTGATACGAGAAACTATAAAACCAACCTGTGCCCTATACGGCCGACTTTTTCTCCTTTCAAATTGAAACGTCACAAAGCGAATACGAGTGCGTGAGATGAAACAGGAATTTACCCTTACTGAACTATCCACCGTGTTTCCGCATTCCCACTCGGTATTCCCGAGATAAATAAGCCGCAGACAGAAGGGACACATTCCAAATTAGATTTTTTTCTCCTATTTAGGGTATTTTTCGTTCGTATTTTTTGAAGCTAAAAAGAATCATAAATCAGGGATACATTAAAAAAATAAGGGTGACAAATTACGGGGGCGACTTTTGGCCCAATTTCTCTCGTTTATTAAACTTCTTAATTGTGCGAAAGGTACAATTCGGGAACGAAAAGCTTCTTTAACAATCCCGGCAGATGTTACCTACTGAACGGGAAAGTTTAATGACTGCTTTGAGGGGATGAATTTAAATTTTCGTGGGTTATTACGTCACGGATATTAATTATATTTGAGTTAAATATATTTTCTAAATAATACGCGGAATTTAGGTCAATACAAACAACATCACGCAAATCCATCTCTTGATAAGCCATGATTGCGTTTATACTCGTAAGCGCACACAGCTGAAATGTACTCACCATTCCAACTACCTACATCTTTAACTATAATTAGATTTTCCAACCTACAATGTTGCTAACGTATCCCACAACCCCGCCCTGCCTCAGGTGTGTTATTATAGCGCGTGCTGAAATAGCTCTTCAGCAATATAATCATACGCTCGAGTGGTAAAATAATATTACGTGAATACTAAATATGTCCTCTGTGTATCAATTTCGTTATGAGAGGTTAATTCCCAATTGTCACCTTTACTTGACATGTTACATAAAACCTTTTTAATACTCTTCATCGCAAACATTTTTACAGTAAGCACCAATCTTATCTAAAACTTAAACGATCAACAAATAGATTTCAGATACATACTTTTCCACTGGAAAACGGTGAGAAAACATCTCTTCTTACGAACGTATCAGGAATTGTCAAACCAATTTTAAACCAAATAAACGCCATGTACGCATCATCAACCACAATAAAAATCTCATCCAACCCAGAGATTATTAATCAAAAAATATTTAAGCGAAGTCTTAAAGAAAAACCGAACGCGAAAGAAAACATCTCAACAGTAATTTTATATGGTAATTTAGGCGATTTATTAGCGCTTAGTAGAAACGCGATAAATTCGCAATCTGAATTATGTGGGATTCAAAAGATTTTGAAACGAACTGATGATGAAACGACTCAAAATCACTCGAATGAGAATAAAAGCGAGGAAAGCGGAGATGAGGGTCCAACTAAAAAATTAAGTAAAGAAGATTTACATATAGGAACTGTTGTGGAAGATCATCTTGGGGATAGCGATCTCGTGTTCGTCGAAGTACCCATTAAAAAGATATCGAATGCTGCAAATGTATCGGATGAAACCTTTGAAAGTATGGCAGATGTGGTCCCAGATAGATTAGATTTCGACCACCAAAGAGTTTTTTGTGGTAAGGAAGCGATCGAAAAAATTGGAGAAAATTCTCATGAATCGACCACGATAAATGGAGTAAATTCAACTGAAAACAATGTTTGTTGATATTAAAAAATACATTATATTTGTATAACTTAAATATAAAAATATATCTATTATTTTTTCTTAATTTTTGTTCTGTTATTTTCAAAATCTTTTTGCATGGAACTCATAAACTTAATTGCTTCTTTCCCGGTTATAGTATAAGTTGGATTTTTGTTATCTTCGTAATGTTGAAGAGGGGGAAGTCCTTGCGGGCGCTTTCCATTTTCCAACTCTGTGTGGACAGTTAATGACAAGTTACTAATACATTCTTTATCTACAGTTGATTTTCCCATTAACGCAGCCTAAAAAAATTAAATTAATTAATGTGTTTTATTTAAATAGAAAATTATTTACTATTTTAGCACACATCTCAGCTTTTTCGTTGCGGAATTGAAGTTCGGTTGCACATGTCTCTTGTATAGTCGTTAAATTATTAGATAAAGTTGTATTATCAATTAAAATGGTGGATAAGATGGTAGTACTAAGAGGTGTCGTTGATTCTTCTTGAGGCGATGTTTCGTTAATTAAAATAATACAAGTTGTTATTGCACCTGGTGGAAGTTTTAATTTTCCATTTGGCCTGCCGTTCGATAATACATCAGAATCGCCCCCAAAACCTGTATTTAATCCTCCTTTATTATCTCCATCATTATTTCGTCCACCTCCACCCGAATCACCTCCAGATTGATTTTGGGAATTAATTTCATTTTCATATTCTTCTTCTTCTTTAGAATCATCGTAATCAAAACTAGTTGGGCAATGAGGGGCTGTGAAATTAATCGGAGATGTTGTGCTTATACATGAATTATTTCCTTTACTGTTTGAATATTTATTAAACATAGAACTTTGAATTATTTTTTCCGTAAAACCTAAACTTGGTGAATCCGCAATTGGAGATGAAAATATATGGGGTGTGCTTTTATTATCCGAGAATTGACTTCTTATTTGCCGGTGTTTATGTTGTTTGTCTTTGCAATTCGTGTCATAACAAGTACATGATTCCCAGCTTTTCGGTTTTGGTCCGATGCAATTTGAATCTGATATATAAACCACTTCACCTTCACCTTCCCCGGTTGGCCTGATGCATTTTACAACTCTGTACCTCCGTCCTTTGGGACATTTTTTACAAGGACCCCAATCGCCGACAAACCACCTGTTAATACAAGGAGCACGCTCGCATGCTCTGATTTGCACGATAGGTCTTGGGGCGTATTTGCAGTACATATCGTCGACCATTCCTCCAACTTTTTCGGTGCAAGATGGAACGGCTTCTTGAACGCCAGGGCCACAAGCTGCAGAACATGGACTCCAACCCAAATAATCCCAAGAAAAGGACGGAATTCGCTTCTTTTTCGCTGGTATTCCGTAAGAATATGAAATTGTTACGTTTTCTGTTACTACTAACTAAAAATTAAAAAAAAAATAAATACGATTTATTGAATAATTTTTGTTATTTTGATTAATTCACCCAAAGTGATATTTCATCAGATAACGGCCCAGGTATCGCAATAGCCTCTTGTTTACTCCGAATATTCCCCACCCACGCATAAGTCCCGGGTACGTTAAACGACCCAATAACGTTTCTGCGAAAAACTGCCTTGAGAATTGATATACAACGAAAATATTTTCATTCGATTCTTACCCTACTATGAATACAGTTTCCCCGTTACCACTTCTTATCTGTATTCGCGATTCAGTAGGCATCATCTCTTCGACTTTAATGTTACTAGCGCTTCGGGGAATGTTCAAGACGCGTTCTTCCTCTATAACATAACGTTTACACATTAACATTTGACTAAATCGTTTTGTTGGAAATTAAAATACTGATATGACCGGTACACGGAACTGTTATATCTCCTTTTATCACGGTACAACTCGTCGAGTCTCCTCTACACACTCCGCACGAGTCCTCAACGGCGTTGGATTCCAAGTCGAGGTCACATGGAATTTCCTGGAAAAGAAAACGTGAAGAATTGCGTCCGACACATAAATCTTCGTTTCTCGAACCTTACACAACCCATCTATACATATGTCTCGCATTCCTCGTTGGCACGAAGTACCGTCTATTACCCTCGGTCTTAATGAAGCTATGTCACCCCAGTCGTTGATACAAAATAAGACACAAGGGTTCTCTAAGAGACAGAAAAATTGTTTTCTTATTTTATTAGTTTTTGGTGCGATCACGACGCAGTGGTAAACCCAGATGGGGTTAATTACCAATCCTCGACGTGTCGTTAACTACCCGTACACTCCCCAATTAGCCAACAAGTTCCGGATTGTGTTCGAAATTGTTCGCGTATGCAAATCGGATCGTGCGTTATTGGGGAAACCGGCCAACCAACAGACCCTATTGTATTCATAAAGTAATTACCGTCGTGCATCGGATAGTTCTTCCAAGTATGCACTTTCTCATCTTCCGGATACACCCACGAGTTAAACTCGATACATTGTACATCACGGAATGAGGGTAGATTCGCGTCGCAAGGCTGCAATGAACGATGTCTAAGTTAAGGGAAAATGACGATAAAAAGCGATCGTACTTCTGTCGCGCAGATTTTATGCCTCTTTCTCTCACCGAGACAATACCGACCGCCGTTCGCAGGAGCTGGACTGTCGCAGTGCCGTTCTTGCCAAGCAACCCCGGAACCGCAAGTTCGTGAGCAATCCGACCACTCGGACCATGTTCCCCAACCCCCATCGATAGCTCCTTCTCTCTCACCCACTTGAATGCACACTCCATGGAAGCACCACTTCAAAAACAATCAAAACATACTTTTATAATAACTAAATTTATTTTGACCGGCGCCTCCACCAAAAATGATTAATTTAAAAAATAAAAATTAATTAAAAAAAACCAACCTTTTTATCGCCACATTTAGTACCAGGAGCGACTCCAGTATGAGTTTCCACGCATCCTTTATCCTCTATGTAACAGATTAAATTCTCGCAATCCTAAATAAGAATAAAACAAGAATAAAAGAAAATGGATGTCGAACAAAAGGTGCTCTAATAATAAAATCTTGCGGTTTTGAACAAAGCAATTCAAATTCTAGGCGAAATCGGCGCCAGTTCCGTCTGGCCAAGTTAATTTAGTGGCCGTTCTGGACAGATGTCAACTCGTTAACTTTAATATAATATGACGTTTGGAGCCGCGCCAGTAACGGCAACAGCGCGATTATGATTGATGCTTCGGCTAGAATCCTTTTAAAACCACTAACAATGTAAACTTTAATCAAAACCTACCACTCCAGTCATGCATAAAGCAGCATTTGGACCCATCACCTCTCGACATTGGAAATCCCCATCGTACATAACCCCAGGAAGGATATCGACAGGTTTAAAACTGTGTTCCGTTGGGGGGTCGTAGAGACATTTTCCAAAACCTGATCTAAACTACAACGGTTTACTGGAAAAATCGTGTTACTCATCAAACTCAACTTACTCAACAAACAACGATAAAAATTTATTACTACAGTTTGACCATCCAGCTGTTTTTATGCTTATAGACGGATTCATTACAGTTGTTAAATTATTTAGATATATTCCACTACATCCAGATTCTTCTGGAGTATCATGAAGAATCGCTAACCTAACAAACAATAAAAATATAAAAAAATAAAAGATTTACGAGAAAAAGAATAATTGAAATTCCCCCAAAAAAAAGACCGTATATGTCAAGTTAGGAAGCATGTCGAAACGATATGGAATCATCATGCTTGGTACTGACGTGTGCGCTATCTCGTGGGCTATCACAAAACCGAGCCGCAGACCGTTGTCCTCGCATATGGCCGCTTGGTTTTGCGGATCGCACATTCCGCCGATTTTCGAGGATCCCAACAATCCGCACGTGCTGTCCGCACCACAAATGTCCACCCTAAAACAGAATGAACACAATCAATACGTCATAGAATACAATATGCTATGAACCCACAATGTACGCCCCTAATTATCTACTGATGCAGTTAACTAAATCTGTTGAAACAGTCGTTACATAGAAACAAATTAATTTAATCACCAAGGAATATTTAAGGTTAGACACGATAATAGACAATACTAAAACTTAGTAATCATTATATGTAGGATTCTAGAAAATCCGCTTGAGGTTGAAGTTGTTTTTAGCCCTACGCAATTAATTCAACTCCAAAGCGAGTTACAGTAACTCAACCCAACCCCAATACAACTCCATCGCAATGTAACTCAAAACAACTCTGTCACAAAGTAACTCAACCCCTAAACAAGCAATTCAAAGTTGGTTGAGTTAAATTGCTTTGAGAACTTAAACCATTAAGCAAGCCAAGATAACTCCAAACCTAACCCAACCCCAAAGCAACCTCATTTGGAAGTGGAATATTAATGGCCTATAGTGACAATGTAAAAAGAAATAGAAATACTAAAAATGTTGAAATATATAGTACTGTACAGGGTGTCCAAATTTCGATGGGTTTGCAGGGTATCTCAGTTATTATGAAAGATAGAAAGTTGCGGCTTTCGCGAACCTGAGCTACTTTTTTGTGAAACTTACAATGGCGCAAACCAAATTTTCATAGCCCTCTTCGTGTTTGATATACAGGGTGTGTTTCAAAATTTACGATTTTCAGACACCTCCTGTATCTCGGCTATCCGGAAATGTAAAAACGGGTTCTAATAGATTTTTTCACGTAGAATCCAATGGTGCACGTAGAATTTTTCTAGTCATCACGGTTTTTGAGTTATAAAGAGTTAAGTATTTTAGAAGTTGAGTATTTAGTATTTGAGTTGTGTTTATAACTCAAAAACCGTGATGACTAGAAAAATTCTACGTGCACCATTGGATTCCACGTGAAAAAATCTATTAGAACCCGTTTTTACTTTTTTACTAAGTTTCCGGAAAGCCGAGATACAGGAGGTGTCTGAAAATCGTAAATTTCAAACACTCCCTGTATATCAAAAACGAAAAGGGCTATAAAAATTTGGTTTGCGCCATTGTAAGTTTCACAAAAAAGTAGCTCAGGTTCGCGAAAGCCGCAACTTTCTATCTTTCATAATAACTGAGATACCCTGCAAACCCATCGAAATTTGGACACCCTGTACTGTGCAATTCCACAAAGAAACCAGCTAAACATTTGTATTGCATTAAATGGTGTTCAAAGACTTAACAACACTAAGACTTTACCATTTTCTTTGTTTCGTGTTGATGTTCATTTATTTGAGATTTACTATAACTGATAAAATTAAATATGAATAAAATTATCCTAAAAACATTCTTGTGTAATTACGAAATGTAAAATTAATGATATCACTTGTTTGTAAAGATGATTAATACTTGTAAAAAAGAACACATTCAAAGCGCTGAAATTTCAAGGGTTTGAGGGTCGGTTTGCATTGTTATCTTTAGATAAAAAAAAAGTACGCCGTATTCGATGTAACAAACGTTCATTTGGCACAAAACGGCCAAGTGACACGCAAGCGCCGGCTCCAGATGAAACGCTATTAGAGGGTATTCAGCAAATACAAACGAATAGACGCACAACAAAAGCCCCAATAACGGCCTGCGCGTAACCCAAGCGAAAAATGTGTACACAAAACTTTTCCGTGTCGAACAGGAAATTTCATTTAAAATAATATTAGATTATAAAAAAGTTTAACCTTGTAATTAAAACGGCGATGTCGTGGTGGTTCGGGTGGGTATCCTCTTTCGGGTTGACTTGGTTCTGCCACTCCCTGAAGTATTCTAAAGTTTTTTCAGCGTCCTTATTCACGTTCATGTTCATCTGGAAGGTCGAAAAAGTTAACAATAATTGTTTTAATTACTCCTTTTCATTGGTACAACAGCGGACATTTCGCGGACACAATACGGAAACCATTTCCGCCAATTAACGTAGTTGAAAATGGAAGAAAACGCAACGGGAGGTTTTCATTAAAACTCTCCTCGCCAGCTTGCTTTTACTACTATTGCAACCCGGAATTTTGAATTTAAATTTTAAAACCTTGCCAGGTTACCTCGTGGTCCTCTTCTTCCAACCTAATTATCCTTACGATGGCCAGATCGATATTCGTTCCTAACGAAGCGTCGTGAAACAAATCGTGAGCCTACAAAAAAAAAATGTTGTAGTAAGCGAGACCTCAATTGGTTTCGTTGTATGATGACGATGTATCTGTGTAAGCTAATATGGAAATTAAGCTTCAGACGCTAGTGTAAGAGATGAGAAACGAGTCTCGTTGCTTGTGTTCTCAGCGATGCGCAGTGAATAGATCGTTAGATGTACCACGCGTGCATGCACTCAGTTTTGTGTGTAATTATGTACATTTCAAAGGGCACGCGAAGGAGTATTGAAGTGGAAGAGGCGCTAAATCCAACCACCCGTATACGTTCTAAATTGTTGGAACTGCATCAAAACGACTCAAATTAGCAAAGATTTATAATAATCATTTTTCGGATAATATTAGAAATAAATGTAGGATTTAGTTTATCGTGGATTAAATTATTAATAACCCATAATTACATTTTAACAATTTGTTGAATTTGATTTAACCGAAAAATTATTTGTACAAAATTCAAACAGAATGCCAATAGACCGTAATAAATGTACTAATCAAAATGGATTTAATTTAATGTTAGCATTGATAAATTGATGTATCACTAAATTATTTTCGAATATAATTAAATGTATATTTACCATATTAAAAACGGTTAAAACATAATTTTCCAAATCGATATCCTTATGATAATCTAACATGGAATGATCTAATACGACTAAAGTTTCAATATGCAATTCAGGTATACATTGATTACCATCACCCCTTTCTGATCTTAACCCACTTCTCTTAGCCATAACTTTCGCAATATCATCAAAAGTTTCGCATTTACTACTATTTGATATTCCATTTCGATTAATTTTTACGTAATGAGGTTGTGCAAATTGTTCTGTTAATCGTTGCGATCGATGATGACCTTCCGCTGGTTCTATGAAGAAGTAGTGCCGCTTTGTCCGTATATAACCTGTCTTAAATTAAAGTTAAATTAATAAAAAAAAATTTTTTCGAACAATTAGTAGATAAAACTAACCAAACCGTGACATGTGGAAATTGCTACTTTCGAATCTCGATCACCTCGAATAAATCCTGTGTAATGGCATTGGGTTTCATTGACCCTATCAATGATTCTATCGTTGATGTCCTTTTTAAACCGTTCAACCACCATTCCCGGCGAAATAAAACCGGTGTTCGGATGCAATTCCACGTGATGTTCTCTGTCACGTATTGGGATAACATAATGGACGGTATCCTTCGCCCAACGACGGCTACGATGAGCTTTTTTCCTAACGCGTGGTCTGTGGTAAACCGTCGGCAGGTAATGCGACAAGAACTCGCCCTCATGGGTGACCCTCCGTGGGAAAACCAGGTCGTACTGTTGAAATACATCGTCGTTTCGCAATTTACCTCCGTATCCGGAACGGACGCCGTCGACGGTGCAAATAAAGCTCAACGCCGAGCAAATCACGACGACCGTTGTATAATGGACCATTAGACGGTTTCGAGGTCGTCGATCATCCACCTTTCGGAAGCCCTGCACAATCACGAAGCACTGAAAATTCCAGTAGAAGGCGCACCAGTGACATTTGACGCGGACACTACATAAAATCGAGCTTTGGCCGGATGACAGACGCCGATTGCTTGATTTGAATGATCCCCGTACCAGAAACCATTCAAAATTCGGGTTTTTATCAGGATTCACCGAATCACAAGATTAATGTTTACATTTCATACTGATTCAGTAAATAACACTCACATTCATTTCATATTTCCAAATAAACCATTAAATTACTACCATTTGTAAGTAAACATAAAATTTTTAAACTTATATAATAAGCAAATAGAAAATATTCTAAATCAAATTTAAGGAAGATCACATAATTTGTTCTCTTCCTTAAATATCGTTGTATAATAACATCGTTATTATGATTTTTTTAAATCAACTCTGCATCTTTATATTATTTTTTAAGAGTAAAAATTTTGAAAGTCGTATCTCAAGAACCAATTGAGATATAATGATGAAATAAAAACCATTTTAAAGTTAATTTAATGAAGAATTGATGTGCCATAAATAATTTCTTATTTCCCATAAACTTCGTTGTTATGACCTTTTTAAGTCAACTCTGCATCTTTATATTATCTTTTAAGAATGGAAATTTTGAAAGTTCCATCTCAAGAACCAATTGAGATATAATGATGAAATAAAAAACATTTTAAAGTTAATTTAATGAAGAATTGATGTGCCATAAATAATTTCTTATTTCCCATAAACTTCGTTGTTATGACCTTTTTAAGTCAACTCTGCATCTTTATATTATCTTTTAAGAATGGAAATTTTGAAAGTTCCATCTCAAGAACCAAGTGAGATATAATGATGAAATAAAAAACATTTTAATGTTAATTTAATGAAGATTTGACGTGCCATAAATAATTTCTTATTTTATGAAATTTTGAAAGTCATATCTAAAGAACCAATTGAAACATAATGATTGTTACTGTAAAAGGTTACTGCACTTATACACAACTCATAAAATCAATCAACGACTATAATAATGTCTAAACACGTTGAGTTTTAAGCATCTCATTGCTTCGACCAGCGCATGTCTTGTACCCAAATTTAATAAACTAACGCAATATTGACTATATTTAAGATAGAGTGCTTTTGAAATTATTAAAGCTACAATATTTTTCTTTCATTAAAAAAAATAATAACTTGGAGGCGATATTTTGAAATGAGGTTTTAACACGAATTACTGTTCCAAATTGAAGCGATTACTTTTTTGTGTTTCACCACTAGCACCCAGCCGATAATTATAGGTAATCACGGAGTCGTTAATCGCGCACTCGTTGACGTGTAAAATAGCTGGAAAAACGGAAAATCACGGCGGAAATTCGCGTGATGTTAAGCTGGTTGATTTTATGCCCGATCAATCTAGGATGCATTAATTATATTTTTGTGTTGTCAAGTTGACACTTAACGCATAAATGCGAGCACAAAGTAGATGGTTCACCGTTCGTTAATCTTATTAATATTTCTTGCTATTCATTCTCTCGTAAATTCTCTTCATCCAATTCATGGTAAGATGTAATTGATATAATTAAATAAAATAATTTTTTTGTTAATTGTAAGGCAGATACACCAGAAATATAGATGGATATCAATTAGCAATCCCTAGGAAATTAAATAGAAATGGAAAGTTTTTATCATTTTCATTACCACATTTCTATAAACACAACGGAGACGAAATTTTAGATAACATTCAAACGCGAAGGAGGAGAAGTATTGACGATGCCGTTCATTATGGTGTTTTAATAGATGGGGAATATCACAAATTAAGATTATGGCCAAATAGAAAATTATTATCTCCAAGAGCTATTATTGAAAAACGTAATCCTAATATTAAACCCAACGAGAGGTACGTTCGTAGTTTAGATGGTGAAAAAATATGTCATTATACAGGAAAAATCCGAGGACAAAGAGATTCTAAAGTAGCTTTATCAACTTGTAATGGATTGGTGAGATATTTTCATAGATACTATTACAGATAAAATGAATTTCGATCTCGTTTCAGGCAGGTTATATCATGAACAAAGGTGACAGGTATTTCGTTGAACCCTTAGCAGGGCATTCTCCTAATAAAAGAGGTCATCACGTTCACATGATTTATAAAAGAAGCACGTCAGAGCGAATACATAAACCTATTAAGCATTGTGGAACTGATGATGATTGGGCAGCTGCATGGAAAGAACAATTAAAAAGGAATTATGAATTGTACGGTGGATTTAGAAATGAATCGAAAAGAGGGTTACAAAGTATTCATAGACATATGGAAATTCTTATTGTTTGTGATAAAAGGTTTATAGAACATCATAAAAATGAAGATATTTTGCAATATATTTTAACTGTGATGAATATGGTACGATTTTTTATATTTATATATTTTAATGTTAATTAACTTGCTCCAAACTTTTTGTATCCACTGAAAATATTCTTTTTAAAGCTCATCTTATCAACTTAAGCTTGTTTCCCTACGGTGTAGTATTTTATGTAAATGTTAAGTAAAAGTCATAGTACTTTCTTTAAGTAGTTGGTATACGCGAAGAAATAACAAAGTTTGTGTTTACCAAAGACTGTACTAAGAGAAGCGAGGTATTCGTGACTGCCCATCCACCAAGATTTATCGTGAGCACTCAGGTTATAATTACAGACCAATTACCGTTTCCTAATGAAAGAAAGACTAATTGCTACCTTAGAAAATAATTCATTTTGTGTTTGGAACGATGTCGGAGTATCAAAAGATAAAAAAAAATTATACAAATTGATTTTAATCAAGCAGATTTATTGGCCGGTCTCTTCCCCCGACAATTAGTTGAAAACGTAGGAATTGAATTAATTCCACCTTAGATTAAGAACGCGGCTGCAATTAAAAAAGTAGAGGGAAGACGAGCCCCGCGGACGCCAGATGGAAGCAAACGGCCGAATTTCCATCGCAATTAACGGGCGAAGAAAGCAGCTTGGGAATTAAAAAGGGGGCGCAAAACAAGAGCCGATTCATATGCCAGGTGCACGACTCTCGAGGCCGACCGGAAGTTCTAAAGTTTTCCCGCTTTAAATATAACCGCTTTTCTGGATTAGCCTGCACAAAAAAAAGACTCGTTCGCTGGCGACTGTTTGCATACTAAATTTTCCTCAGCAATATTTATGAGAAAAGTTATTTTCGTGTACAACAGCACGGCAGAATCTTTTTTTTATAAAGAAACCCCACTCAACCACTTACCACAAGTTCTTATTTAATGAAACACCATTTTATTCAATCACGCAAAATATATGTTAATGAATGTCCTTTGGTTTACGATTTGAATTTAAGGATTCGAGTAAGATATAACTTAGAATTGAAGATGTTTAAATTAGAATTGAAGATGTTTAAATTAGAATTGTGGTTTCGATGTTTACTTTCCAAAACAAACGGTGTCCTCTAATATATGTCAAATCCTAAAACCGAGTAACTCAAATCGTAACGGAACGTGCGCCACCACAATTACCTGACGGTGTTGAATCTAACAGCACCAGGAACTTACTTGTACAGCTGGTGGTGAACTCCGGCGTGAAAGCTCAAAGTTCGGACGAACTTCACCGCTCCATGCACTCCGTTCGTTCCACCACGTTACGTTTAACTTTAAAACTTAGCATAAAGGCCCCGCGGTAATATTTTAGTCGCCTGATGATGTCAATCCGCGTTCTCCAAATTCCGGGATAGGGGCACTCCTCTCCGGATATTAATAGTAAATTACACGCGGTGCTAAATCACCGCAGCCGTTGCGTATCTTGACGTAATGAATGCCGTCATGCGTCTTCATTACGCCGTCGTATTGTTGAGGTTTGGCAAATTAACGCAATGCATCGTCCCCGCGGTGTGATGTAATTACATTTATCTCTTATTTCCTTCAGGTTTACGATTATTACCACGACGCCACCGCCGGAAATCAGGTTGATGTTATTATCGTGAGGATTATTTACTTGGAAAAAGAAGAGGAAGAAATCGATCTTCTCATCAATCATGATTCGTCTAAAACTTTAGAGAGCTTTTGCAAGTGGCAAATCACTGTAAATCCAAAAGATATTCATAACCCAAACCATCACGACGTTGCTGTTTTATTAACACGTCACGATCTTTGCGCTACTAATGGAGGAAGTTGTGATTTAATGGGATTAGCGTATGTTGGAACAGCTTGTAATCCAAATAAAAATTGTGGAATCAATGAAGATGCTGGGTTACTTTTAGGAATCGTGGTTGCACACGAAGTTGGTCACATGTAAGGTTTTAATTCACCTAAGTTATATAATTAATGAAATAAATTTTTAGAATGGGGTGTGCTCACGATACCCCTCAAGATTCAGGATGCGAATCGAAAGATTCGGAGGGTAGTTATCATATTATGGCTCCTTTCGTTCATTTAAACACGCGAAGATGGTCCGCTTGTAGCAAAACTTTTATGACCACACTTTTCGAGTGAGTTTTACGCCGTTAAACTTAATCCTTCTCACTTTTTACTTTTAGCAATGATTTAGGGGAATGTCTCAATGATGAACCAGAGGTATCTTTGTACCAATACGAAATGGTTTTACCCGGTGTGGTTTACGATAGTGATTATCAATGTCGACAAATCTTTCCGGGGAGCGAAACTTGCATAATCGATCCGATGAAGAGTTGTGAAGAATTACTTTGTCGAAAACCAGGGGAGGATTCTTGTAAATCAGATGGATCTCCGCCCGCCGAAGGTACCAAATGCGGCCCAAATAAGTGGTGTATAAAAATGAAGTGTGTGGAGGTTGGAGAGAGACCACAAGCTACAAATGGGGGATGGGGAGAGTGGAGTGACTTTAGTAAATGTTCGAGGACTTGTGGTGGTGGGGTTTCTTACGCATCTAGGAATTGTGATAATCCTATTCCAAAAAATGGGGGAAGATATTGTATTGGGGAGAGGAAAAAAGTAAAAATTTGTAACACCACGGTTAGACTGATAAATTTATTATTAAATCACAATTATTATTTTCTTTCAATTCCGAATAGCCATGCCCAGAAGGATGTCCTAGTTATCGAGCCGCTCAGTGCTCTGAGTATAACAAACAACCATGGGAAGGAAGAATTTACGTTTGGTTACCATATCTTTTAATTGGTAAATTAAAATTAACCGCATTAACTGTATAAGTCGAATTAATTTTTAGATAAACCTTGCGAACTACATTGTATCAATCAAGATAATGTTTACGTAAAATTAGCACCGCGAGCAAAAGATGGTACTAAATGTAAAGCAGGAACGCATGATATGTGCATTTCCGGTCATTGCGCTGTAATTTTTATCATTGTAAACACTAAGATATTTCCAACTTTTATTTTATAGAAAGTGGGATGTGATTTTCAAATCAATTCAAATGCGATAGAAGACATTTGCGGAGTATGTCAGGGAGACGGTACAACTTGTAAATCGGTTGAGAATACGTACGCTGGTCCACCTGGCCACGGTAAGTCCCTCAGGATCGATCCTTAAAAGCAGTGTTCTATATAAGGGGTTGGCGGCAATGGGGGCATTTTAAGCACCCCCGTGACAAACGACTAAAGGGCAGAAGGTTTCTTACCTCCTTCACGTGAATTACTGGGAAATTCGCCTCGAAATCTCGTCCTGCTGGTTAACTTAGGCGTTCCACTTAAGATCGGTGCGGTTCGTTGGTTGTTATTGCCAGGAGAGAACATTACTTCGCCTATTATGCAGTCAGAGAGATCCGGTGTGTACGTCATCCCTGGTTCAAAGGCTGCGGGTTGTTTGTGTAAATTAAAATAGATTTGCTCATCATTATTTATGGACGAGATGACTTCTGCGTCGCATAAATCAGTATAAATTAGTCGCGGTTTAGTAAACGTATAGAGACAATAGGTGGAGGTAAAACAAGGTAACAAATCAACTAAGATCTCACAAAAAGTCGCGCCGAAGGAATTCCATTTAGCGCGGGCTAATGAATTTCAAGTCCAGGTGTATATCACTTCGAATTGGATTCCTCGAGTATATTGCCGACGATAAAGCGCGCCTTAATGGTTATTAGATTTAGTCGCGGCATTTCGAAAATTGGACGCCTCAATCGTACATATACCCATAGGCCAATTTGAATCTTACAATTGCTTTTCACCGCAGAATACGTAAAGATCGTCGTCATTCCTAAGGGATCTAGAAATATTATAGTAGACGAAAAAGCTCCCTCCGTCAACACAATCGCCGTCAGCGATGAGGATAATAAGTATTATTTAAATGGAGAATTGTAAGTTAAAAATATCTTTGTATTTTATTCTAATACTATTTTTTAATTATTTAGTACCGAAGTTGTTGATGGCGAAAAGGATTTTGGGGGAGTTGAAGGAATGTACACTCATCCAGAACCGGGTAAAGAATTATTAGAAATTCATGGACCGCTTAAGAAAAATTTAGTGGTATACGTAAGTATAGCAATTTATTACATTCATTTCTTTTCGACCATATTTTTATGAAATTAAAAGATGAAACTTTAATAATCAAGAGAATCGATTCGGGAACTTGTTTTGTGGTAGATGTCAATGTAAAGCAAAGTGTCACAAGTAGTGAATTAACTGGAGCTTCACCAAAAGTTTCAAAGTGTAATGAGCTACATGTACCTTGTGCTTTGTAAGTTGAGAAGTCGCGTCTCGTTCCTTTCCTTCCACATTGACGAAACGCTTAAAGCCGAAACTTTGAAATTAAATTCACCTGCAGGTGGAAAAAGTATAACGCGATTTAAAAACTATTACTTCTCTTCTTCCCCGGAAATAGCATAGAGAGCAATTAGCCGGGATTCAGGTACTGCAGAACCATAACCATTATCCAGTTAGAAAGCTTCCCGTTCTCTAATAATCGCGACTCGCGACACACTAAAAGTTAACGTTTATGGAATTGATACGACTAATGAAATTGAAGTAAAACACGTAGTGGTTTTCCGCCAAATTGGCTCGTTCGGGTTTGTTATTGTTACAATTCGTTAAATTGTTAAAACAATAACGACGTGACGAACAGGACTTGGCTCTCACGTTGTCGTTGCGTTCTGCAGTCTGAGGCGTCGTAAACGCTCGGAAAAGAGCCCTAAGGTGACAGTTCAACGCATTATCCGTCAGCGAGGTCTGCATAAATCACGCAGCTACGTCGTAACTCAAACTCGTAATATTACATGGAGATATATAATAAATTTTGACACGTCCTATCAAGGCGTGAAATGACTACTCCAAGAGGATAATTCTTAAATCTAACACTTCCGCCATTAAATCAACTACAAATTTACGATATAAATTTTATACAGTGAATGAATTTCACTTAAAATGAAGTATAGAAAAATATATTTTCATAGAAACCTGGGCGTACCTACTTACTTTGTCCCACATAAAATAAAATTAAACATGTCTGAATATTTCTTGTTCTAGGTCTAATGTTAGTTCTAGTTTTACACTAGCACTATCACTAGAACTAACACAAGACCTAGAACTAGAACTAGAATCATTCGGGTTTAGCCGTCTTAAGAGACGTGCGGCTAAACCCGAATGTTTCTAGTCCTAAGTCTAGTGTTAGTTCTAGTGATAGCGCTGAATAACAATTAATACTAGAACTAACACTAGACTTAGGACTAGAAACATTCGGGTTCTAGTGATAGCGCTGAATAACAATTAATACTAGAACTAACACTAGACTTAGGACTAGAAACATTCGGGTTTAGCCGTCTTAAGAGACGTGCGGGTAAACCCGAATGTTTCTAGTCCTAAGTCTAGTGTTAGTTCTAGTGATAGCGCTGAATAACAATTAATACTAGAACTAACACTAGACTTAGGACTAGAAACATTCGGGTTTAGCCGCACGTCTCTTAAGACGGCTAAACCCGAATGATTCTAGTTCTAGGTCTTGTGTTAGTTCTAGTATTAATTATTATTCAGCGCTAGATTGTGGTGGTATATATATGTTTATTGAACGAAAAGTAGAACTAACACTAGACCTAGAACCAGAAACATTCAGGTTTAGCCGTGAATCTCTTAAGACGACCGAAAACTCAGGGTTATCATAAGAAATAAGTGCAGGGAGAGTGCAAGTGCATAGTAGTTTCGTAACTATGGTTACTGCATTCATATATTGCGAGTGATATGAAATTGCCGGTATAAAAAAAAGGCAGAGGGGTCTTTAAAGGAGGTGAATTGATCGTGCGTCGTTCCAGAAGGAATTTAAAGCACTTACGCTTAACAAGGTCTGTCCGAAATCACCTAAAACCGTTGATCAACTCAACGACCAAGGAGCCGTCGTTCCTCAAACCGAGAACCGGAACATGCCTTGTGTAGAAAGGTCCGACGCCCAATCTAATAAAGCCCTAACATAAAATTGAAACAAAATCGAATGTGTCATACTTCATTAAGCCGTGTATCTATCTCGGAAACGTCGGACGAAGCCGTAAATTCGTCGTACGTATACACGTCATTACATCTCGGAACGAAACCGGGTCCTATAAAGTGCAACAAACTGTGTATTATACGTACACTTCAACGAGGGTTTTGTATTGGAAACTTTAAAATCTGTAATAAAGTGTATTTATCAAATAACATAACGTGAATAGAAGAGAGATATAATAGAAGAGGAAGCAGGTATAAAAGGCGACCACCCCAATTACGTTTAAGATACGAAATAGAAATGCGAAAGACGAGGTCGTCATTAAGGCATAATGAAGAAGAGTACCGCTCCAATTCTACTCGTATCTGGAGCACTCCCATCGGCGCAATTGTTCCTCGAGCATTCCACCAAGTCCTTACATCCTTACATTTCATATAAGAACGAGATTAAATCACAATTTTTAAAATAATTTTTTCTTTACTAGGTTGTTTTTTATCAAGCAGAAAACGTCGGATATTTTTATAATTACGCAGAACCATCTCTTCATTCAAATTATCAACCCCATTATCATTGGGAATTTTTAGAATGGAACGATTGCTCCGTGAGATGCGGAGGAGGGACGCAATCTTCAGAACCGAGTTGTGTTGAAGAAAAAGCTGGGAGAGTTTCCGACACGTTTTGTCACAACATGGAAAAACCTATTGCGATGGTAAGAAGATGTAATGACGCACCATGCAAAGTGAAGTAAGTTAATTAATAACAAAATTAATCACAATTTAATAACAAAAAAACTAATTTTAGGTGGAGAACCGGAAAGTGGAGTAAATGTACGGCTTGTAAAAACCAATCGGGTATTAGAGTTCGTGAAGTTGAATGTGTAAGAGAAAATCCAATTAGTGGAGCTGATGATATCTTAGTGGAAGATACTTTTTGTCCCCCTCCGAAACCAGGTACAAGAGAACTTTGCGACGCCCAGAAATCGTGTACGAAAAAGCGCGAAATCGAAAACGAAATTCCTTCTTACATACTCCGCGAACTTTGGTATCAAACAATCGTCGATTACGTTAACGCCGATTCAGCTGTAAGAAGAAGCATAATGAGCGCTCCACGTACGATGAGGACAATTAATCGAGATTTAAAACGTCACCTTCAAAAATCTCTCAGCACCAATCCCGATGAATGTCTTAAACTTCCGATGCGCACCAATCCAAAGAAAGAGAAGCAATTAAATAAAGGCGATTTACACGTGGGAACAATTATTCAAGATCGTATTCCAAACGACGAACTTAAACTGATTGAAATTCCATTGAAACAATTAGGGGTTTCAATGAACATCTCAGATTCGGTGTTTGAGAGTTTAGGAGAACAGGTTCCTGATACTTTAGATTTTGAACATAAAAGAGTTTGTACTGGAAAACAAGCGGCTGATAAATTAACAGCTGCGGCTCATATGAATAATACAATATAAAATTAATTTTTAAATTTATTTTTATATTTTTAAATAAAGTATTTTTTGAAACTGAAAATGATTTTTAAACAAGAGAATACCCATCCGTCTCATTGTATTCAGACTATTTGTTTTAGAAAATTACTCAAGAGCGAGTTCACGAAGAACCGTCATAAGGAAAATGTATAACTGGTTTACGTAGACGTCCTGTGCATTTCAGATGCTTCTGTCAGAATGCATCTCGTATTGTTTATTCAGCGTCGGGAGGGTTGATTGTAGGTCTTTCGTAGCTTATGAATCCCCGGACGCCTTTATGGTTATAATAAGAATAAAAAACCATTTCCATTCTTACCGCAAAGACGAAGTGGTTTTTCCTACCTACAAGATACCACACCCTTCGCAACCTAACAAAACAATTTGTATGAATAATGCAGCTACTCTCTCTTGAATATCTCTCGATTACATAGAAATAGTGTACCGACGCCAATTAAATTGAGAGAGTTAAAAGCATTCCTGTGTTACAATTATTTTTCAACGCGAAGGTTATCCTTAAAAATGAGCAAAATGAGACACTGCTCCTTGAAATACATTTATATTTTTCCGCAAGATTGTACAATATATACCATTAAAACTCGTCGCTTCCACAGTAGCATATCGTCAACAGAATAGTTGGAATAGCCACTGCCAATATCATTATATGTGCCATAGCTTGACAACTCAACGGACGTCCTGCCTCACAGCAACATTGACAATCTGGTTCTTTATCCGCTTTACAACCCATTTTATCACGAAAAATTTTTTGATGGAGTGTTTCTTAAAAATAAACGTCACATTAAACATCAATCAAAAAAAATCGCAACACACTTGATATTAACGAAATGAAATATCAAATATAGTATTACAATAAATTAAAGTGCAATTACGCGTAGCTCAAATCAGTTCATATCGAAAATGTCAACCAAATTTGTACAATTGGATTAATTGCAAATTCATTGGATCTGAATATTGCATTAAATTCTGTACCTATATTAAACTAAACCCATAATCGACGCAGTGAAATTAATAGTTTCACAAAGCAATTTGGAAAATGGAAAATTCGATTAATTGGTAACGAGACAATTTTTTCGGTCGATTTCCTACGGCGACACCCGAAGGAACGTTTTCAGTTCGATTGAATTAATCCGGGGAATATGATTTTCCATCGTTAAGTTCGGGATTAAATAGTTTTGCAACGAACGTGGTTTATTGCAAAATTTCGCCGCCTTTAAAAGTGTTTTAAAGCGAGGCGTAGTTGCAAACGGGTTCCGCTTTTAATCCCGCGTCCCATTCGCTATTTATTTATACGATGTTTTACATGCATAATTACCGTTAATTGAGTACTAAGTGCGATTGGAATTGTATCACGTACGCCTGAAAGACCTCAGCTCTAATATATGCTAAGTCGGACGAGGCCCGTGTCGATTGTCACTATTTCTAACAGGTGGGGACCTCGTTTACGTAATTGGTTTATTAAAACGACCGAAATTAAAGAAAAATTAATAACATCTCAATCGTTTCGGTTTGTTTAACGGTTCTTTACAGAGTATGTACATCCAATTCGACACGTTGATATATTCGCGCCCCATCAATATTTATGAGATCCGTTGTAACGCCAAAACTGCCCCGATGCGGTCTATAGTTATACCGCGTAATAACAGGCATTACCATGAAATACGGGAGGCGCAGGTCGGATCTCGCCTGAATATTATCGTCAACGGACGTTTAGCGCAGCGCCTTGATACGAAAATTGGCCCACCAACGATTAAATGTCTGCAATTTGCCGCAGGAAAAGTAGTTCAACGCCAGTAACTAAGCCATCAAACCAACATAATCGCATAAAAACATCTACTACAAATAAAATCCAAGACTTGTACAAGACTCTTGAGTTGGTCGCTTCGTTGCACCTCCTCACAAAAATACGACATTTTAAATAACCTTTCGAGTGACAATACCTACAGCAAGTACTCGCCCGGGGGCAGTTTCCGGTTTGAAATTGCACGTTCTACATAATAGTAAGCGTTCTCTTTATTCTATGGTCCAGTTACCGTTACCCCAGCAATGAAAGGCCTCACTTTATATAATAGCAAGAAAGACTTTCAAATATATTCTTCTTTTAATATTAAAGAAGTTGTTTACCAACTAAATAGAACTAAACTAAACCAAATAGAAATTACAGAAATTTCCCAATTAGTTTATAAAGGAATTATAATCAGAATTATTGTGAGAATTATGTTGAGAACTACATCAAGAACTTATCGATCCTCTATATATCTATAAATCTGATTAATTGAGTTGAGAGATTAGTATTAGTTTCCGGGTAGTTCGAAATATCTCCCTTATATCTTAGCAAACAGCTTCGGATTTATACGTTAAGGAATTTATTTAATACTAAGATCTAAACTCGGAACGGTTTGAGTAGTCGCCCGAGCAATGATTCGGTCCAATAAATTCTCAATGTCAGAAGCCGGGGCCGCACATCTGTTTGTATTTAATGAATGGACAGCTGTCTGCGAACGGGACGATTTAAAAGATTTAATCAAACATGAATCACGATGAAAATTACTACGAACTCGGCCCGGGGGGCACAGCTCGCGATCTATTAGCGTTCTGGGAGATTTTGCAATTCGGGCTAATCCGCCCAAAATCTCAAATCTTGACAGACGAATGAGTCAGGGACTGGATTTTGTCATGGTTTTAATTGAGACTACTTTGAACGATTTAACTTTTTTTTTTCTTTTTAGACACGATTCTTGTAACCAATTAAATCTAAACCTATATTAATCTCGTTTCATTTACATTAGATAAAATTAATATGTTCTATTTATATTAAAAACACACCCAATTTATCAACCAATTTCTATTCCACAACGTTTAGTCTAGATTTCAATTAAAGTGGTCAAAAACGAGTTCGAGAATAAGGCCAAAAGAATCTTTATGCAAAAGAGTAAAATAAAAAGAGTTAAAAAAAAATAAAAATTCTATGAAAAAAGATCTTACATAAAATATTGTAAAATTACGCTTTTTTGGGTATTTCAAAAATGTTAAAATATCGCCTATAATTTATTTTTAGGAATTAAACGACGAAATATATCACAAATTAAAGCTAAAAGATTCTATTTTATGATAACATAGAAAACAAACAGTGTTAATTATAGAAATTTTCAAAAAAGAAGGTTAAACAAAATTCTAAAATGAGGTTGTATCTAATATTAGAAGAAAATTGCGAAGCTTCATAGAAACTGTCAATTGAATCAACTGTCAATTAATAAATGAGTGATGATAACATCAATTTCCCACCAAATTATTTGTATATTTAGTTTAAAATTAATAAAAATGGTATAATCAATAATCAAAATCTTCAAATTGGAAAAATGGTACCAACTGCTAAGTGCGCATGTCCTTTAGAAGAATCCAAATGTAAACCTCAACGGATCGATTACATAATCTTAGGTGTTGCAATTCCAACGAGCATACTTGTATTACTATGTTGTTGTAATTTTTCCAAATAAAACTTAATAAAAGCTGAAATAAACCGAGAATAAAAAGTATAATTAAAACGTATTCAGTTAAAATGAGAGTAATAAAAAAAATGTATCAAAGCCTTCCTCGTTAAAATCATACGTCAAAATCGTTTTGACAACAAAATCATCAAAAAATCTTCATGCTTTCAACGTTCATTATCATTTAAATTCGATATCTAATTCGCGGTGTTAAATTAAAAAATTATTTGTCGATTCTCGATCACTAACAAATTATGGTTGAAGATGTGAAATGCGGAATGTACCCGCCATGCAAGACGGGTACAAAATATGATTTTCTACTTTTTGTTTTGGCTATTTCTTCGACCATAGCTCTGGTATATTTCTTGGGTGAAGGTGGTGGTGGTGGTGAAGGTGGTGAAGGTGGTGAGAGTGCTCCGCCTGCCGAAGAAGAGGCAGCCGAATAATGAAATTAATCGGTATTAAAACAAAGATATCCGTGAATAATTTATGTAATGCTATCAAAATTGTGATTAATAAATAATTTTTTTAATAATTTATTTTTGATAATTCTTATTAATGATTTTTGAATGATTGAAAATTATTTCAATTTCAATAATAATATGAAAAATACTATTGGGGAAAAAGAAATTATGGATCAAAAAGCAATAAACACAATAGAAGGAAATAAAATAAAGAAATGTGGACCACCAACTCAAGATATAGCTGTTTTTTGTATTTCGATGAGTATTATAATATTAACGGTAACTTTATGTACCGATTATTAAATTAAATTCAATTAAAAATTGTTTTGATTAATAAAATTATTGACACATTTTTTGTTTATTTTTTTTGTAAATTGTCAAATTAATATTTGAATATAAAGTCGAAATTTTAGTGTATTAAAATTACCTGAAATAAAAATTTCAGTACTATTATTAATTAATAAACCACGCAAATAATAAAATGGGTAAAGTAGAAGAAATTCCGAAAATTAATTGCTGCGGAGATAAAATTGGATGCCAAGCTTTGACGCGAGATTCCATTGTATTTCTTGTAACGTTATCATCGGCTTTCTTAATATATTACCTGTTAACAAAATGATATCAAGATAAGCAAATTATATAATTATCTTATCCATTATTATTTTTTGTAATTATATCTAATAAAAAGTATGTTTTAGTGCTGAATCTGGTTAATAAGAACGTTATTTTTTTTTTCCACATAATGCAAAAGCGTTAATACAAATTACACCCACGTTGGTCGCGTTATAACCACACGAGTCACATTATTCAAGTTGTTATTGTTCTTGGGGAAATTGCCTTTTCGGCGACCATTGCATAAACCCATAAATTTTTCCGAAGCAAAAGAAAATAACATAAAAATGAAATTCTTATTAAAAACATCGAAATGTTGTAAGCGACGGGAAAACGGTTAAGTTATAAATAGATTAGTTTATGAACCAAGAAACATTGAATCATTTATTCCCAAACAATTTACAATTCGTTGTGCCAGAAAAACTTGAGAATTCGGGCGCCAGTATTTGTACGAGTCAGTCATAAATATTAGCGTCGACAAGCGCGTAATAGCATCCATTTTACGACATTTAAAACATGCTTAAGCGAGCACCAAGTTGCTGGGTACAAATAAATAATTTATCAATGCGTGCTCGTTAAATTTTGAAATGTTTATTTACATTGACGTAAACATGCTGTTCGAAAAACAACCAAATCTCAATTTCAAAGTTAATTAATTTAAATCTCTTTTTGTTTAACTGTATTTGGTAACGGAAATCGGTGGGAACTTGATGGGAATTTGGGTCGATTTTGCGTCAGAGATTTTCCTAGTAATAATTAACAAGTTTAACACGAGTAAAATGCGCGAAATACATACAACTAGATACGTGAGCGTGCCAACGCGCGAATTTTTCACTGTTTCAATATCACGTCCGCACTCGACCGATAGAAATATCAATTAAAAACAGGTCGCGGCCCACGGACGATCACGTAAGAGAAATTCTTCGAAATGGTTCACGAACAATCAATTATTGTCGCCATTTATGATTGATTTATTCTTACTCCAAATCCATTTAGGATAACGGAAGTCCAACACTTCTAGTCTAAATCTAACACTTCAACTCCAACACTCATTGTACTTTCAACGATAACAACCATTCAAATCGAACACAACAAGAAAACAACTTTTTCTATACATATAATTTTTATTTTTAAAATTTTCCATGATGATTTCTAGCTTTCCCGGTATTCCCCAAACACAAAACCCCCCATTGTTTCCGAACGACATCGACGTCTCGTGAGAGCCGTAACCGAAAACCGTACAAGATGCCACGAGATACACTCGAAATATCAAATTTCACCCGGTTCTACTGTAACGGCACTCACAAGACAAGACAAAACCAGACGCAGGAAGCCCACCGAGACGGTTATGACGTCCACCTACTTTGCGTTTAAGTTAATTACGGACTTAGATGTCCCGGACGAAGGCATAAACTACAAGGTAACCAGTAATGCACCCGAGAAAGGCGAGCAGTTATCGTTCGGGTACCGGCTTTATGTCTCAATAAGTTACCCCTTGACTATGTTTACGGACACTCGAGGATTACCAAACCTCAAATTACCCTTTGGATAATTATTTCGACAAGCTATATAAAACTTATTTTGTTATCTGAGATAAGTAGAAAATGTAGAATTTAGTTGAATTAAAAAAAATATTCTATGTTAATGAAATTCTTATTGAAATAAATTCCAAATAAGCTCAACAAATATAGCATAAAATTTATTTTAGTTACGGACGCAATATACATTAAATACATACGAATTTATGAAGAGAATTTCAAAAACTTCAGGCATCTCATAAGACTCAAAATATAACTAACTCTTGGTTATCAACCATTTAATCCAATCTCATTCTCATTTCAATCCAATGCTAATTATGATGTGGTTAGATTTGTGTTAGATGTAGTGCGGCTTGGATCAGATTAAGATTTTAGTTTGTTTTAGATATTAATGAGATGGGGTTGGAAAGTTTTGGATTGGATGGAAGTGAGGGTGAGGTTGAGTTGATTTAGATGAAATTGTAGTTGGGTTTTATGCGCTATAGGCTGAGTTGGATGATAATGAAGTTTGACAGAAATGAGTTGCGGATAAAGTTTGGAATTGCTATGTTTGCCTGAGAAAAGAGAATTATTTGAAATTGAGATTTTACTTAAATGTAATTGGTTGAGTTGGGTTGGGTTGGGTTACATGAAAAAAAACTCACCGATGACTTCTTTTTTCTTTACATCAATGCGCCTTTTTGCCAACTCTATCAATGTTAAAAGTCTTCAACCTAATTTTGCTACAATTCCACCTCAATATCACGTTGTTGTTAACTCTGCACAACGCAGTGCGTACCTTATCTTAAACTAATTAATGCAACAAAAAGAAAATTTAGATTAAATCGGAAATAATTAAATTGGAGAGATATATTTAGTCTGGCAAATGAAATTGACTAGACTCAACAACCGGAATAATTGAACTAAGCATAATACGTTAAATTTACAGTATCGTATGGTTTCGACAGCTGCCACAACTTTGTATATCAAATTACTTGACCAAAGACCTTGAACTCTACTTTAATGATACTAATTTAAGTCTAAACTTGACAAACAAAAAAAAATTCATCGCGTGTTGAATCAAGGAGACCTCCCGTTCTTCAGAGCACATTAGAAGAGCCCAAAGATTACTCCTTACTGACAAAAAGAAAACACCGGGATGTAATTAGCTCAGTTACGTTTCCATCACCTTATTTGTTTCTTATTTTATCATCTCTTCTTCCTCTTCGGCTCATCCTTCTTTCGTCTCGTTTTATTATTCACCTTCTTCTTCACATCCTCATTTTTTTCGTTTTAAACTTTTTCTTCTTCGTCTTCTTCGGCGGTCTTCTTCTGACCATTGTTGTCTTTTACTGGTGAGTCGGCGGCACGTTCCCAAAACGAGCACGACGTCTCTGGCCATGAACCGGGTCGTCTCGTCGCGGCACTCTCAAAAGGCGAGGACGAGCCGACGGTGGCAGTGCTGAGCTGCTTTTCTACCGGCTGCGGCAACAGTTGCGAACGCACCTCGTCCGAAATAGCGCCCAACGATTCTTACCGTCTTCTAAAATCTCTTCGTTACGAAATGTTAAATAATCGTTGAGAACATCTTAAAGATTTTTGCGGTTTTTTTCATTTTGCGATTTTATTACAATCCGATTGCTAATCAGGATTGAGTATTAGAATAAGATTTTTTTTTATTTTTGATAGAGAGATTGAAAGAGGGGAATTCTCTGTATCTCTCCGGTAACACGAAGAAAACCAATCGCGACAGTGACAGTGACGCCGAGGAAGTGGCCCAAATCGGAAACAATGGACGTGTTTTGATTATCGTATTGATATGAAATTTATTGTGATTGAAATTAGATTAGTGTAAAGTTAAAAACATCTTTGTGTGTGCGTTTTATTTTGGGAAGATTTTTTTTTTGGTAAATCATTGTACACAAACAGTTAATTATACAACGGGTTTAAATCCAACATTTACTTTTCTAATCACCGGGTTTCTTTTACTATCTCATTAACAACTAAGTGATCAGGTGGGCAGTAATTTAATATTTAAATAACACTTCCTGTCCGCTTATACGAATATCATATTGCGTCATTCGAAACGTTTCAAATAATATTCCATTCTGCACTTGATAATCTTGTGATTATTATTATTTTTTTTTTGTGCAATTTTATTGTTACAAATTTTCTGTTTGCTCATCACCAACGTGATAAATTGACCATTATTCGAATCGTTGCATTGTCAAAAGTGTAAAGTCCGTGACAATCACGCATCAAAGGCGAGGTCGCAATTTCATAAACTAATAATAATTTATTTTTGATAATAAATCAAAATATTTGTATAGAAATATTATATAGTAAGATTTTGGCAAAAATCCAAATTGAAGGGAAACCAATTGAGACGATCTAATAAGATTGTCGATATGAAAAATCTTCGATTTTAGTGGAGATTGAGAAAACAATCCGAGAGGGTACTAAAAAGTTTACAAACTGGAATTAATTTGGAATGTTGCCAAAAGAAAATAGAAAGATTATGAAAAATTATTTATTTATTAATTTAATTTTAACTTATTTTATGCAATTTATCCCTACATTTATCACAGAGGCATTGTTGCATGTCTACGTCCAATTTGGATAAGATTCAAGTCACTTTGTTTGATTTTTTGGTTGAGTCACCGACAATAAGCAGTAATTGTCCACCTATGTAATAATAAGTGCTACATTATATCATCATAAATCACAACGAAAATCATTAATTAAAAATGAAATTTATCCGTAAATTGTGAGCGCATAAAACGAGTTTATTTATTGAACCACATAACTTGAACGAGAAAAGCAAGTATCGTCCACGTCGATACAATTAGAAAGCCGATAATTTAAAGTAAACGTCGAAAGTGTCCGACTAATATTATATACAACCCTAGAATTGAACTCTGGGCTGTAAAATCCGGAATGCCGGACAGTTGAATACATCTATAAAACATTATTTTAGATACGATCCAAGTAAAGGGTCATAATTTAAACCTATTGACAAGAAATTGTAACGATCCCTTTCATTTTTTTATATTTTTTTATGGTGAACAATTTCATACCAAAATTACAAATGCATAGCATTAATTATTCACGTTATTTCAGTGCAGCAATATTAACACGTATTTTATGTGAGCCAACCCGAAATATAACATGAACATATTGCAAAGTTGAACGTTTAATAACTAACCGTTTGTGTGCAATCAAAATAAATTAGTTGCTATAATCACGTGACAACGTAACAATTTTAATTTATTTAGTGATGATTCGTAAAATGAATATCAAAAGGGTGTAGAAACAACAAGAAAATGTTATCGCAAACTGTATGGATTTGCTTCGTTTCCACTTTGATTTTGGTTAAATCTCATCTAAGCGCAGCCGGGTTTTATAAGGGTAAGAATAAGATATAATTAAATATTCTTTCGTTTTAAAATTAAATTAAAAATACATAAAACCTGTCTCATAAACGTTTTATAACTCAATAACTTAATCAATTATATTTTTACGATAACCGTTCGTCGAAAATGGGAAAAAAATCTTGGTCGCATTAGCATTCGTCTGGTTTGTTAGAAAACAGCCGTCAACATAAATCTAGAATTTTCTACGCCATTTTTAATAGTCGATTATTAATCGAAACGGGTGTGTTTAAATTACAAAGAAAGAATCAGGAAAAAAATAACTATCCGCTTGCATAACGCGTAAATTATCGCTTTGGGCGGAGTCGCGTTTGCATATAAACACGTAAACAACTTCAAACGATCAAAGGCGAGTTTTTCACACCGTAATTTATGCCATTACCCTATCCCGAGGTGAATTGTGGGCCCCACCAGTGACCAATCAGAGTACAAGAGGTGTTTCCTGCGACGTTTCATCACGTTTTCCCATTCGCCGTTTTCTGTTAACCTGACATTTTTCACCATGATCTCAATTGGGGACAGATCCTCAAGAAGGAACTCCCGGATTCCTTTCTATTAATAAGACCATTTATGCTGCTAATTAAAGAAGCCTATTGCTGTATTTACTGCCGACTCTATAAATACTTCGGGGGCACGTCGGTTTCGGAGTGTCCCGTTTCAGACGCTTTGCCAAACCTAAAACACTTCGAAATCGTTCGCGATTAAAAGTATTTTCAAGGGCCTACATCAATCATTAGTCAAATTTTATATATAATATTAACTTTTTTTCAATTCAAGTTCCACTTCACACTTTAACTTATTTAAAACTACCGGATTCGATTCAAACAATCTTCAGGATAATATTTCATTTGACTGAAATCCCACTGTATTCGCTATATTCTGTGTTAACACAAAGTTGTAAACTTAGACTTTGGCTTAATTAACTAGAACCACACATTCTTTATTCTAGGTTTAGCCAACTCGCTGTATTATGTGTTATCTAGTTTTAGATGTAACATGTTTTGATTAAGATGCTCCGAAGATGTCAAAATGTTTTCTGGTATATTGACCGATTACCAGGTTGGTTATTCACATAGATCTAGGTCTAGTATCAAGGTTTTCAGCTCAATGCTCTAATTCTTCGAAGAGTGGTTGTGTCAAAACGTAGAATTTTGACTGATTAAAAATTTTCTGACTGCATCAAATATTCGATAATAATTCTGCAAATACAAATAGTATTCTTTCCACATCTTAGCTCCATTAACTTCATTCCCATCGTTCTTAGTTACTGCTTTATTCTCTTTGTTTCTGCCCTTTGTAAGTTAACACTGTCCGAACTATTGCATTATATATTTTAACTTTACTTCGATCTTCAATGAGTCTATTACCTGAGTTTTGCGCCTCTTCATCACCTATTCTATGACATTGCATTCCAGCTCCATTTTGGAAAAAAAGGTTAGTATTTAAGAAATCAAACTTTTTTAAGGTTATAAAGTAAGATTTAACCGTTATTTTGTTGATTTAAATTTTTAAACTCAATCTAAAACTGTTAATTTTATATAAAATGTGTCTGGTCTATTGTTTAGTCTATTAAAAACGATATCTTTCAGCAGTTCATGTTATTCAAAGGGTCAATTTGCTCAGCACGATTATCGATTCCTGTAAAGCTTTTNATCCACGAGCACTACGTTCTTCTCGCGAAATAAATGTTCTCGATGGCAACTTCTTCCAATAGAGGCCTGTTTCATCAAAATTGAAGATGAGATCTGCAGGGTAGTTCCCTTGTTCCACAATTTCTTGAAACTTTTAAAGGTAAGCTGCTGCTGCTTCTACATCAGCGCTCGCCGCTCGAGGTTTAAACGGATATTGGTTCGAGATTTGAATCTCGTGAAGCACCCAGTGCTTGCCAAGAAAGTTTCGTCAGTGATTTCTTGCGCCTTCAAATCAGAAAAATCAACTGTGCTTTTTCGCATATGATTGCTAGTGTTTTTTCCATTTTCTCTATATTTTTTTATAGTCGTCTGATGTCAGGCGAACCGGGGAATCCCACGCCGGCACCAATCGGCGTAATTGTGAATAGGCGTAAACCGAACCGGCGCAAAACGACGTTTACCTGTATATTTTAACTTTATTTCAACCTTCAATGAGTCTATCACCTAGGTTTTGCGCCTCTTCATCACCTATTCTATGACTTTGCATTCCAGCTCCAGCTGTATTTTCGAGGCTCCTTAGACGTTACAAATGTTTTGGTTTCTTCTCTAGAAATCCATGTTGTATTGTTTTGTTATTTCGCAAAATTTATAGAGAGCCTTTGGAGATCCTTTTCGTTCTCTGCTGTAAGTATCCGTATTTAAATAATACCATCAAATATGATGACACCTTGGAAAAATATTTTGGAAAAAATTTAAGAAATCAAACTTTTTTAAGGTTATAAAATAAGATTTAACCTTTATTTTGTTGAAAATTTTAAGTTTCTGAGTTTTCGTTTCGTTGATTTAAATTTTAAACTTAATCTAAAACTGTTAATTTTATATAAAATGTGTCTGGTCTATTGTTTAGTCTATTAAAAACGATATCTTTCAGCAGTTCATGTTATTCAAAGGGTCAATTTGCTCAGCACGATTATCGATTCCTGTAAAGCTTTTCAGGTTTCAAAAGGTTTTTGTTCAAAAGCATAATTGAATAGTTGTTCATTTTCCACTAACAAATTTTGCATGTTGTGTCCATTAAAACAAAAATGTAATGCAGGTATTATAACTTCTAGTTTATTTTGAATATCCCCATTTTTTTGTTATAATTTCTCTGGCAGTTTATGTGGCCATTATAATTTCTATTAAAGTTATTACTTATCCTTGCGTCGTTATGTGTAGACGATTTATCTTCAGAAGGTAGTGGAGATAACCATCTACTCGGAAGATAAACCTGGCTTATGCTTCAATAAACTCAAATCTCCATTTTAATTCAATTGAATGAAATGAATTTTACCATAAATTAAAACTTATTACAATTTTTGAATTTAATTTCATGCACTTATATCGATGATGTAAACTGTAGACTGTATTTAAGCCGTTCCAAACTTATATTTATGATAAAGGAAATTATAAACCATTTAAAATAATAACTTCCCCAAAACTTTTATAACGTAAAGGAAGATAAGTTCGTTTAAGTTATTAAAAGATTTGAAAATCGGGAATATATATATATAGAGAGAGTTTTCGATTCATTTTCATTTTCGGTAGAATGAACGGTTAAATTGATTGAGTTAAAATTAATGGAAGAGACGATCTCAAAAGGAGCAGTAAAGCCGAGACTAATTGAGTGGAAATTCGAGGAAACACTGCGGAAAAATGCGAAGAACAAGACGACAGGGATTTGAAGGGAGGAAATATTCGTTTTAAGGATACGTTTTAATACTGTTAATTATAAATAATTCCGTTGATTATAAAAAAATGGAAAATGACGAGTTTTATGTTTGAAAAGGACGCGGATATTGTGGAAATATTTGGGCGCCTGGCGCCCGCGATTAAACCAAATAGTCATTAGCCGTTTAAATATTTATATTTTCGGACGGTTTGTTTTGTTCGAATTCGTTAGCAAGATTCCTACGTATTTTTGTCTGGTTGCTAAGAATTCGGGTCACCGAGAGAGGACTTTTTAATAACCACTTTATGACGGCTAAAGAAACGCTCGGTCCCTCCCATTTATTAGCTAAATTAGCTCAGTAAATTTCACAGACTTTTGGGCCCTATTAAGTAATATTGCTAAAGCTCACAATTTATTACCCTCCTCATCTAAAATTATACATCATCGCAAAAGGATTAAACTTCGTTTCGTTTTATTTTCGTAAAAATATTACATCAAGGGTAATTGCTAATATTTTAACGATTTATGTTAGTAATTTTCGGAGACATACATTTTACTAGCTAAAATGTAAAGATCATCGTTGATAAATAAACCTTGAAAAAAGAAACATCGAACATTCTCCGGATTATATTTAGAAATTCTTCAAGCTTAGTTACATCTACGACGACTTTAGAAAATCAGATAATACCCATACCATGTTCACAAAGACGACGAACACGAGGAGTAGCAGTACAAAGTAAAGTGTCTCGGAGTTACTAAATCAAATTTTACAAACCCTTTGAAAAGAACAAAACTATACCGTAAATTCGTCCTCCACTTACATTAACGTCAATTAAAAGGTCGCTAAGCTGCGATTTACGAGCAGTAAAATTAATTAAAATTTCAACAAAAACGCAATTCAAATCGTGATCATAAAAGTAACGAACGTCCGTGGCGGCTTCACGTTATATTCAATTTTAGAACTTTTTTTCCATCTTTTTCTGCGTCGTCCCATGTATAATGCAGTTTCTTGGATAAGAAAACGAAAACCGGCTACCACGTAATATTTATGAGTCGTATTAACATCGCGTAACTGCTTGTTGTCTGTATATTTAATTTCTATGACGGTTCTTCTAAGTAATTCTAACCTTAGAAGGTTTGCTTAGGGATAAATAAAAAAATTTTAAAGATTCGAAAATCTTATTAGTGTTGACAAGAAAATAAATCTTGATAAAACCCACTTAAACAATTTGATTTATACCTTTCATTTAAGAAAAAAACACACACCCATCTAATGGATTTAAGGCGCTATATGCAAAAGCCGGTCTATAGAAGCTGTCTCTTCTTTGCCCTTTTAGAACGACCGATGGTATTATTCAATAACGATTATCCTCGATAAATTGTCGCTTTCACGCAAACTAAACACTATACTTCTTCGCGCTTCGAGATTCGCTGCCTTCAGGAAGCAGTTTCCTTCTATATAGCGGAGTGGGTTCTTTAAGCTAGGGTTCTTCATACTCTCTTGAACTTATTACACCGAGCTAAAACTTGTATAATCTTTTTTTTGTCGGTCACGCCATGTTGTATTTCTGCAACTCAATACTTAATGACCACCAGCCTCGGCAACTCCCATTCCTGGTTTAGAACGGCGTTTTC